TTAATAAAGCTAGAGTGCAAAGCTCTAGTTTAAGCGCTAAAAGCGTTTTAGTCCTATTTATATAGCTACTAATTTATTGTTAAAATAGATGCGAAAGTCCTAATCGCTTAATTAAACTAATTCTTATTAGACCTTCCTAGCTCTATAATAAACTGATGGCTTATAACAATTTTTTAGTAAAACTTTAATATTGTCTACGTACTAGGCAAAAAAAATATTATTTCTAATGCACTTTTAAGGTATTTCTAACTAGAAAACTAAAAGCCCCCTTTAGAAAATAAAGACGACCTAAAGCCTTTTATTAATTAAACTCTAGAAAGGCATAAAGAAGTCTATATAGCTAAAAGCTTAGTTAAACTATAATACTTAGTTAAAGAGTATAATAAAAACTCAGAAGAAATAGCAGTCTTCCTCTAAACACTAGAACGCCCGACTCGCCTACAAGGCAAAATGCTCTAAGCCTAGACTAAAAAAGCAATTTGCTTCTTTATCTAAGAAAAATATTTATTTAAAAAAGCTACTAAGGCAATGCCAGCTTAAAAAGTGCTTAACAGGCCCGAAACGCAAGCAGCGCTAATCTAAAAAATGTATAAGCAACTAAGACACAAGGGTATTTAGACTACGTTTAGAGCAATTAACTAGCAATACTAGTAGGAAGGAATATATTAGTAAGTAGCAAAACAACTCAGCCCTTGCAAAGAATGTTAGTTAATTAAAAAAGCTAAAAAAAAAGCAGAGCTTAATACAATATACTTTTAAGCATTGTAGGCGTAGTAAACTATTAATATTACGTTTATGCTAAAAGTTAAAGGGAAAACTTATTTATTAATCGCCTGCAAATACTTCTTAGGATAGCCTAAAGCTTGTGCAGTTTGCACTGCAAACTTAGAAACTATAGCCCAATTTATTTTTAAAAAAATCTGCTATAAATAGGGAGTACTACTAAAGCTCTTTGTTAATAGAAGCACTAAAAATAAGTTAGTAGTTAAAGCGCTTACTACCCTTTTTAGAATTTACTGCATACAAGCTTCCGCGTATAATTCAAGAGCTTAAAAACTTATTAAAAAAGAATATTAGAACTATATTTATGCCTTAGCAAAGCTAACTAGCCTTTAAGTAGACAATTTAGCAGTAGTTACCTAAGCTAAGCGTATATTGCTGCAACGTTTTCTTAGATATTTTCCTGCGCAACTAGTTCTTGGCTAGAACCCTATGCTTCTAATAGAACTTGTAGTACCTACTTAGTAGAATCTGCTATAGTTAGCAATAAAGAGTTATGCTAATTTGCTTGCAGTTTAAGCTACCTAGCTATAATTTTAGTAGAAAAACTTAAAAGAAGCAGTTAATCGTACAAAAAGGCTTCGCAGAAAGGCAACTAAAAATTAAAATAAAGGAAGAGAAATGCTAATTGCCTTGCAAAAAGGCAAGTTAGTATTAATCTAAGACGCAATAAAAGCTATTAACAAGAGCTTAAATCAAAAGCTTGCTAAAAAGTAGCTAGAACCCTACTAAATAAGCACTATAAACCTAGATAAAGGCTATTATTAGCTTGAAAATCTAAATAGAATAGTATTTGCAAGCACTACTTAAACTAATAGGCTAAAAAAGTTTAAGGAAATACCAAAGACGCTTAAAGCTAAGATTTTAGCAGGAAGACTAAAGTTATATCTAAAAACTAAAGGGTTTTAGATAGTAATACTGATTCTAAGCACCCTATAGGCACTTAAAAAACTACTACTACTAATACTTCCTATTACAGATACTAAAACTTTATTGTTTAAAGATGACGAGCTTTTGCCAAAAAGCTATATTCTAATAAGTTTATATATTCTAAATTAAAGGTCTAACAATGCGCCCTAAAGAGCTATTAATAAAATTTTATAAGACAATATTCTTGGGACAACAAGGAGAAGAGAGGCAATTATAAACACTAAAAGCAAGTTAGAGTAAAGTTACGCAGGCAGAAAAAAAAAATTAAAAAAGCTGTAAGAAAATTAAAAAAAAAAGAGGAAAAAAAAAAGATTTATTAGTAGGCTATTAAAAAGAATAGAAGCCTTAAGTGCTAGCAGCACATCTAAAAACTAGTTTTTAAAAACTTTTAGATAAGCAGCTTAATCTATGCTGACTGCCTATTATTATCTAATCTGCCTATATTCGCTAGGCCTAAAGAACACTGCTAACTTAGGAACTAAGAGCATTACTATAGCCCTTGCCCTTACTACCGCCGCCTTAAAAAGCGTTTAAACTACTAAATTAGGTAAAAGAAGAAGTTAAGCTACAAGGGCTACGCGGGCTACGCAGGTTATCTAGATCTATAAACACTAAGCTTATAGCACAACTACAAGCCTAAGGACTTCGCAGACTAAAAAAGCTAAAATGCTTAGAATAACTTTAGCTATAAGTAGTAGTAATTTCTGCAAAAGTAGGAGCAGCACTAATAGTGTCTACAGGAGGGTAATCTAGTATTAAAAGTTAGCAAAAAAGATCTTCGGGTAAGGATTAGAAACCTACTATAAAAGCTGCAGCAAGTAGTATTACTATTAAGAGCACACTTATTGCAGGCTCTATAGTTAAGAAGGCGGCCTTAATAGTAAGATTACACGCAGCTATTAAAAGTATAGCTAGCCCTAGTGCTTAAGCAACAGGTATAGCAATTATTAGCAAGGTAGACTTAGTTGCTAGTAGCTGCTTATTAGATAACTAGTAAGGTTAGCAAAAAACTATTAGTATAAGAAGGAAAGCATATCTTACCTACTTTAATATTAAAATTATAGTATCTACGAGCAGTACCTATTCTAAAGAGCTACTAAATACTTAGAATAGCACTAGCAAAGTAAATAAACGCTAGAGACAAGTAGCCCTTAATATTGTTTTAGTAAACTGCAGAAAGTTAAAAGTAAGGGCTAAAATTAATGCCCTAAGCTACTAGCTGCTAGAGGAAGTAGGCTAGTGCGCAGATAAAGTTAAAGGTTATTTACTACTGCTTTTAGCTCTTTACTACAAAAAATAAGCTTATAACTAAGTATTAGTATAAAAAGACTTATACTACTTAAGAAAATAGCTTTTAGCTAAGCGCATATTATAGGTTTAGAAAAGGCTCTTTTTATTACTACTATTAGCAAAGTAGTAGCTGCGAAGATAGAAAGGCCGACAGTTATTACTATTATTACTACTACTGCTACTTTTACTAAGAGCACTTATTGCAGTGCTGCCTAAGGCGTAGTTAACAGCAGCTATAATAAAAAAAAAGAAGAGAAGAGAAAAAAGTAATAGTTAAGCAGTAAGTTGTTAAAGAAGGCTCAGGGAACTAAAAAAAAAAAGTAAAAAAGTAGAAAAAAAGACAACTAAAAAAAGAAGGGCAGTTTATATATGTTTTTTTTTAAAAAGGTATTAGGCCTAAGCTTTTACTATACTACTATTATATTAGAGCTGCCTCCACTTTAAAGCTAGTAAGTAATATCTAATACTAAAGCAGTAAGCAATACTATAGCAAGTAAGAGCCTAGCATTTTACAAATAGCTATTTATAATTGCAGCTATTAGTTTAGTAGTAAGGTGCGTGTAAAAAAAGCTTAATACTTAGGCAGCGCATTAGGCAATAAGCAAATAGGGAAAAAGGGGAAAGTAAAATAGCAAACAATACCTAACACCACAATATTCAGTGTTAAGGGGGGGTATTAGAGCTTAAAGGGGGGTATTAGAGCTTAAAAAGACTAAGCTTATAATTAGAGAAGAAAATATAGTATAATAAGTTAGCATATAATAGATATCCTTAGCAGCAAAGCTGTATTATAGTTTAGATAAGTAAAAAAAGAGAAAAGCACTAATACTAGCTCGCAATAGAATACTAAAAATACGAATTGCACGTCCTACTAACTACAGGTTAACACCTGCCTCCTCTATTCGAATGCGCATTGTAGTATGCTACAATATATAAAAAGCAGGAACTTTAGCTTTTAGGCTACATTAATACTAACTAGGCTAGATGCCTAGACTCTTAACACTTTACTACTAGTTATATGTTTATCTTTACTAGAAAACTTATTTTATAGTTGTTTGCTATACAGAAAGTTGTAGCCTAGTTTATATATAAGGCAGAATATATAGTTCTTAGCAAAACTATAAAAAAAGCTATATAAATTAAGTTGTTTATTAACAACTTATGCGTTAATATTTACTTTAATATAATACTTATATATATTAATAATTAGTTAGCTATTAAGCTAGCTAAGAACCTAGAGTTTTACTAGTAAACTAAATATATTAATATTTGTTATTACTTTTTCTGCAACTATATTTATAAAAGCTCTATTATAGTTAAATAAATTAGTAGTAAAGAAAACTCTGCTAATATACTTATAAAAACTCTAGACCTTATTAAGTTTAAAGCAGTTTACTAAAATATTAGTTTTATTAGCTAGGCACTCGCTATAAGCGCTATATTTAACCTACTAAGTACAAACACAAACAACGCTATTGTTTATAACTACTAGCTCTATAAAGCAGAGCAATACTTTTTTATTTATATATTATAGCAAAAATAAGTTTAAGTAGATACTAAGCATATTTAAATCCTAGAGCTTAAATAGTTCTGTGCTACCTACAGCATTATAGAAAACTGCACAGAAGTATAGTTTAACTATATTAGAGTCTATAACTATTATAATTATAAAAAAGAGGCGTATAACTATAACTTTGTATAGCTTTGCTATAGCAAACAGCATATAGACTATAATTCTAATACAAAGTACTTTTACTATAGTATAATACTATAAAGCTACTATCCTCTTCTTATTTTATCCCGTATTAGGATTTAGGGGGGCTGTTAGTTTAGATTCCTAATATGTAATTTATTATGTGCCTAACACGCTAGTTTATAAACGGACTAGCTTACTCTGTTTTTACTCCCTTCTGTATATAAACATAGTTTCCCCCCACATAGAACATCATCCAATACGATCACCTTTTCTCAGTTCTACAACGGCAAGCGGTTACAGACAGCCAAGTCTCAATGGAAATGCAAAGGTGGAACTACTTGCGGGCTCGGGCGTGTCCAACGGCATCATGACAGCCAATGTGAAGTGTAGGTGACCCAAAGTACCTCGTTCCGTAAGGGTCAGCTAACGTATCGTAGGCTCGAATTGCAACAGCTGGTCCGGCGGCTCCATGGACTTCAAAGCTGGAAATGGCAACTGGGTTTATGGGTACTCGTCATCTGGCGGCCCAAAAAACTCCGATGACAAGTCAGCTTCTATTCGGCAACACAGCGGGAAAGACGCGTTTACCTGGGACTTCGCGAGCGCTAAGGGAGGAAGCAGCGTCAACCCCTTGGCGAATGCGGCTCCATCCGGCGGAGGTGGTGCAGCAACAAACTGCATTCCTCGACCTGCTTCAGCTACGGGAGCTTCCAGCGCCGCGGCAGTCTCCAGTGCTGCGGCCGTTTCCAGTGCTGCCAGCCCTACACAAACAAACGACGATTCAAACAATGAAAACGAAAACGACCGGTCTAGGTATGCTTCTTGGGCCACTGCCAGACCAACTGGTCCTCCTTGGGAGAAGCGACAAGCGACTCTTCCATTTTGTGACGAGGTCTCCAATGGCAATACCAACACTGGTATCACTCCCATCGGCTCGGCGCGCGGCGGCGGCGGAAACCAAAAGATGATGCTCATTGCTCATGGAGTACTGGCATCTCTCGCTTTCGTGATCCTATTCCCCGCTGGTTCCATCGCTATCCGCCTTGCTTCCTTCCCCGGTGTCATCTGGCTTCACGCCGCGTTCCAAATCTTCGCATATCTAGTCTATATCGCTGCTTTTGGACTCGGCATTCACCTGGCGAAGCAAAAGAGTCTGCTCAACAACTACCACCCCGTCATCGGCATATTTGTTCTCGTTCTCATCTTCTTCCAACCTATCCTTGGCTTCCTACACCACACGCTCTTCAAGAAGTACGGTCACCGCACTCTTTGGTCCCACGCTCACATCTGGGTTGGCCGTATCGCTGTTACACTTGGCATCGTCAACGGTGGCCTCGGTCTTAAGCTTGCAAAGACAATGAATAATACTACGCAAGGTGGAATCATCGCATATGGTGTCATTGCTGGGCTTGTCTGGCTGGTTTGGGTTGCGTCCATGTTTATTGGTGAGAGGCGGAGGAAGAGAGCGCTGGCCAATGCGCCCCCGAAGTACACGGATTCCCCGCGTCTAGAGTCAGATAGGTCTGACACCGTTCCGATGCAGGAGAGTTATGCGCCGAAGGTGCGATGAAATTGAGCCAGTGGTTGTGGAAGGATAAGTCAGTAGTAGATACGAGTTGAGAGCTGAACGCAGATTATAACTCTTTCTGTCACCGACCAATTCACATCTGTGCTGTGGCTAACTTGATGAAAAAACTATACAAAAGCACAGGCTACCTTTGCATAAGATGATCTTGAGCCACAACAGGCCCTTCCAATCACGTGACAAACCGCGTTTTGGCTAGCGCTCGCGCTAAAACCTCGTGGGGTCGATAGTAACGCCTCAAATAATTGGGCATAACAAATAACAACCACCCCCAATTTCACCACCCTCCACGCCAGTACCGCGCGCATCAGTGTCGCAAACCCGTCAGCTCATATCCGCAAGTTTGAGGGACATCTCCAAACGACACCACATCAGTAGCCACCATGGGTGAATCAAGGTACGCTATGAGAGGGGCTCCGCTCTGCCTTCTGCAACCAGCCTTCTAGGCACCTACCCACATGGCCTCAGAGACACCTGCTGACTACTGCCCCGTACAGACAAGAACTCGTCGCTTGGTTAAACAACCTCCTCCAGCTCAACATCACCAAAGTCGAACAATGCGGGACTGGGTACGCCACACCATACATGCGCACGCCTGGAGGGGCTGCGTGGCCTCAAGGCACACGGAACAACTGCTGACGGATAGGAATAGAGCAGCGCTTTGCCAGGTCTTCGACAGCATCTTCTGTGAGGCCTCCCATCGCAACATTCGTGTAGAGGGCGTTGCTGATGTGCTCTAGATGATGTACCGATGTCGCGAGTCAAGTTCAACGCGAACACCGAGTATGCATATCTGCAGAATTTCAAGGTATTGCAGAGTATGTTTCAACTACAACTTCTGTCTACCTCGCGGTCTACTAAAATGAGACAGACACGTTCGCCAAACACCAGGTCGATAAGCCGATCCGAGTCGAGTCGCTGGTCAAGTGCAAGATGCAGGACAATCTCGAGTTCCTCCAGTTCGTGAAGCAGTACTGGGATCAGCACTTTCCCGGTCACGAATACGATCCCGTTGCTCGCCGCAAAGGACAGCCTGGTCAATCCACCGGTGGCGCCGCACCCCGCGCCGCACCTGCCGCCGCCCGAAGAGCACCTGCTGCTAGCAACACCGCTGCGCCTAGGACACGCACACCGCTAAGCACTGGTGGAGGTGCCGCTAGTGCTGCTCTGCGCGAGGAGAACACACAACTCAAGGAGACAGTTACGGGTCTGGAGCGCGAGAGAGACTTCTACTTCAGCAAGCTGCGCGACATCGAGCTGCTCATCCAGCAGGCGATGGAGGCCGATCCTGAGTTGGAGAAGGACGAGGGTCTGCTCAAGCAGATCCAAAACATCCTGTATTCGACCGAAGAAGGATTCGAGATCCCCCCGGAGGCTGAGGGCGTCGAGGAGGAGACGTTCTAGGTGGGCGAACCCAATTCTGCAGACGTGGAGGGCGATGTAGCAAAACTCAGCTCCCACGCTGATGCACCTGCTTGAGCAGATCAAGTAGGCGTGTCTCCCACGGGAGAGGCGGTCCGAGATGGTGCCAGACAACATTTGCATTGGGGAGCGCGAGCTGGGATACCACATTTTTCTTGGGAAGTCAGCTTCCCAATCGTATGACGAGTTACGAGTTGCATGAAGAGGGGATGTGTTCGACATGGACGTGGTGATAGACAGTGATGGCATATGTGATTGCGCATTCATTGCGGTCTTGTTACCTGTTATACGCCCGGCGGACAACAAGAACTCGCAGAGTAATAAGAAGAGTTTCATTTGGTTATTATCTTCCTCGCTCCTCCCCAACCCAACTCTACTCTATACGCGGTCCGAATTCACTATCTGCTTCACAGCTTAGTAGCGTCCTCGTACGCCCACACAGCATCCGCATGGGTGCCGCAAACTCCGCCCGTTCGATGGCCATGGTTCTGCACTAATACCCAGCCGAGCATAGGTCCATGCCCTATTCTTGATTGAACCTATCGTCACATTTCTCTTCCTTGCATTAGTACCAAACGTTCTTTATCCTCCACTCAGCCTTCGCTATTGATCCAAGATTTCTCAACCCTCCAACTGGACATGCAGTATTTTAGAATCACATAGTATCTATGTAAGACTATGAAAATAACCAGAGGGAACAATCGCATGAGGAGAATACACAACTGGTATAGCGCCCACACCTTCGCTCACACTGACGTGTCTAGTAGTAAGACTATTTCTTTGTCCGCACATCTAGGTTACGATACTGTGATTTGGCTTTAATTGCGGAGTGTAGCCCTACTACATGCGCGAGACGGTAAGTGTCTTGGACGGTTCTCAGGTGGAAAGAAATTTACTAGCTTTGAATTACATGAAGGGAAAGCGTGTAGAAAACTTTTGGTATGCTTGTTCTATCTTTGTCTTCTTAGGTACTATTGCCAGGTACTAGAAAGGGACTCAACGTCGTGGCATCCAAGACTCTTCGATGTACTGTAAGTGTGCACGTGAGTGACTGGTAGTTCACATGTTTCAGGTGATTCAACTCGAGATGTTGAAAAGTTTCATCTGGCTAGCTTATAGGAAATCAACAAAGACGGAGGCGGTGTCGGACGTGGCCGCAGGAGGGAAGGTGGAGACTGATCAGATGCCCGGCTAGCCTCTTTCGGCGACCACGCTAATACACCTCCCCTACTCTTGCGCAGGATCAGCAGGGAGCTTTACTCGCGGCGAAACCAACAAGTCATCTAGCCGCGAGGCCTCTGCTCTTTCGACAAAGAGGTCAAGGATATGACCTCAGATGTCCCAGTAACTCGCCCACGTGTTGCGGCACCCCGCATTTCAGCTACCCCTCCTGACTTCATAGCGCTGGGCGAAGTCGGGCTTGACGCGATGGCTATATCTACTTGTAGCGCCGCTGGCATACCTGAAATCCTTTTATTTTGCTTGATTCTCTTACGAAAGCGTCCGTACTGTTAATCCCTCTTTATCCTCTCTAATTGAATCAACACGTCGTTGAAGCGACCGCAGCTGATACACGCCATGTCTGGGTGGTCTGATCTTCCTGCGGCATTGAAGGGAAGCTTGGATAAGCTCACAGAGCTCCTTCAGTCCGACACTCAGCTCGAGACCTTCACTACTTCAGACGCTATCGACAAGGGCGCCACCTTCGGCATTAAGTCGAGCGGTTCAGACAACACTCTTCTCATCAGCGTCACCAATGGCAGCGCAAAAGTAAGCACTGGTACCACAAAGGATGCCTTGTTTACACTTTCCGCTCTACCGGAGCAATGGGAGCAGCACTTCAAGGAGGTCCCTGCTGCCCCATACCAAAGCTATTGGGGAATGTTCGGTATGAACATCAAGCAGGAAGGCATCGAAGTCTCGGGCGACCAAACTGCATTTGCACAATGGACCCATGTATGGAGACGCGTTCTTGAGCTCGTCCACGACGCACATTGCGGCCCTATCAAAGAAGACGAGCAACCCGAGCCTGACAAGGACTATCTGACCGGTCGTTACCTCTTTCTCGACGCCCCGGTATGGGGACGTAGCAAGGTCTTTTACGAAACCTCTGGCGAAGGCAGACAGGCGATCGTCTTCCTCCACACCGCCGGCAGTGATAGCCGGCAGTACCATGGCGTCATGAACGACGCCAGGATGCGCAAGAAGTGCACCATGTATGCCTTTGATCTACCAGGACACGGTCGAAGCTTTCCGTCCAAGAACTATGTCCCTGGTGCACACACCAATACTGAAGACAGCTATGTTGGCATCATTGCGGCATTTGTGAAGTCGCTTGGGTTACGACGACCAATCATCTGTGGCGCGAGTATGGCTGGTCAGGTCTGCCTGGCGGTAGCTATTCGGCATAAGGAGGTTGGCGCTGGAGGTGCTATACCTCTGCAAGGGTAAGGACATATTCATGTTGTGAAGATGAGACAACTAACCAGTTTAGTTCTGAATACCTCAACATGGAGCGCCAGTGGCACGATCGCTCCCCGTACGTCAATCAGTCGTTGTTCAACCCAGAATGGGTCTACGGCGTAGGTATATTAGTTCTTCAATAAGTCGCGTTTGCTGACGAAATGTAGATGATGTCGCCAACTGCGCCTCTCGCCAACAAGCAACTTATATGGCATCTATATAGCTCTCAAGCTTACGGTGTAAGAATTCTCTATCAAGAAATCGGCTACTCGTACTGACCATTCAGATCTTCCATGGCGACCTCGACTTCTACTTTGGTGGTTGGGACGGACGCTCACGCGTAGCTTCCATAGATACGCAGAGCTGCCCAGTATACATGCTCACGGGCGAATACGACTGGTCCAATACCCCAGAGATGTCGCAAAAGACTGCAGACAAAATTCCAGGCGCGGTGCATAAGGCTATGCCAGGTCTAGGCCATTTCCCGGCTACCGAAAACCCTGCCAAGTTCGTGCCGCATTTGATTGAGGCCGTGGACCACATCCAGAAGGTTCGAAGCGAAAACTTGAGCACAATGCGTTTAGGTAATGGCACAGATTGAACGGGGGTTACCAGATTGCTATGGCGAAAGACGTGAGATTGTAAGCCTTATTCGTTCTTGTCACTTGCCAATCTCTACAATTCTTTTGACATTTCTCTCAAATCAAAGTGTACGTGATATGATTTTGCTCCACTAATTATATATCGCCTATAAACAAGTCAATGATGTTGCGGCCATACGATATAATTTTCGTCACGCTACCGTTCCATTTGCACCCACATTTGCAAACTAGTGTGCTATTATTCGTGCAACACTAAAAAGAAGGGTAAAAAGAGATCAAATCTTCTCAAGCGCCTAGGCACTAGGCCCATATAAGGGTATACTTAGTTGTTAGGGGGTACCTGGAGAGAGCGGGGATATTGGTGATTAGGTTGACTTCTCCAGGATAGGTCAAGCAAACAATCAACCACGGTTACCAATATTAACAACGATGACTAAAGGTGCTCCCTCAGGTTTAAAACTAGAGCCAGTCCCTTCTGAACGATTCAATCCAGCTTCCATGCCTACACGGACTTCCCACAGCACACAATCTCCCAAGCCCCTCAACACTGCCTCCACACTTTCACACCTCAACCGTGCGCACTCAACAATGATGGTGGACACCGTACCCGCTCAAGGACTGTCGAATGCCGACACTTTCCTCGCTTCCCTCAACGAAGTCGAATGCACAATATGCGAAGAACCATTCGACCTGGCTCACGCGCCTGTTATCATCCGGGGGTGTTGGCATGTTCTCGGCTTGCACTGCTTGAGGGCGTGGGTACGATCCGACAACCGTGGACATAATCGTTGTCCCACGTGTCGCGCGGTACTTTTCGATGATGGACTGCCGTTGATAGAGGAAGAAGAGGACCAGGCTGAAGCAACAAGAGCTGGGATAAGAAGTGTCCACAGTCCGGACCGTGGTACTGCTGTGCATTATTTCACCGATGCACAGAATATAGCTGCTGCTCAGCATATTGGGTACGACTTTTCCATGCCGCTCATGCCATTCCCGAACTTTCCTGCTGCCGACAGGGACCACGGGATGAATCTCGATAACCACACCGACGATGTCCAACAACTTGGCCTACGGCAAACACTGGTGCATAGGCAGGCACCTCTGAGTCGAGGTCAGCAGGCTCGTCAACAACGAAGACGAGCCGGCGACGCCCAACGACGTCTGCAAGAGCGGCAGCAATATCGCGCAATGCAGGAACATGCACAAGAGGTGCTTCCAGACTCACCGTACGAACAACCATGGATGACGATGGGCCACGATAGTGGGCCTCTCCGATACCGTCGCGCAGGAGATCAAGATATAAAATACCTATCGCCACCGCGCCGTTCCGCTCCTCAAGCCACCCACCTCCCGTCTCTCCCAGACGGTCTTCCCCTGAACAGCTACCTCACCACAGCTCACTGCGGGATCCGCGGCTGGGTATCCGCTATGCTGCTCGGGGAGTGGCCATATCAGTACCCACCTAACCTGTCGCCACCAGCCGCTGAGTACGTTCAGGAATTGAACGAACGGGGCAACCCCCAGCTCTCACCGCACATGCGGGAGTTTGATGTAGAGAGGCGCAGGGAGTTTCTTGCCATGGGCAGGAGGCGCTTTCCAGCTGAAAACCCCATCCTATCAACTGACGAGGAATCGGAGGGGTATGAGGGCAATTCGACCTTTTGATTTACGCCAGGGACGTCGAAGTGATTGGATATCTCGGTTGGTCTGCTGAATAGAGTCAGGTTGGGTATGATACTAGATACTGAAGTATCGATACCGGCTTCTGAGGTCGTCCTATAATTACATAGCTGGAGTTTGCTTTGCATATAATTTGTTTGTATTAGAAAGCATCATAAGATAAGTAGGGGTGTAGCACTATCAGTGTGAGAATGAAAGCGGGGCTGGCGTACCCTGTTTAGTTTCACTAGATTCACTCAGAAAATACGCAGTAGTGCTCATCCAACGTTTACTTTCCTATCTATCCAAACCAAGCAATTTGTTATGTCATGTCATGAGTTCGCCACCATGCTTTCCGAGGCATCTAATCACCAATTCTCTCCGTCTTCATCAAAATATATACTATAAAGCAAGCATTTCTATATCAGTCATTTCAGTCGTTCGATGTTCCTTATCAAGACAAATCTACGACCACTGCGTAGTAGCGCCAATAGCTGCTCCGTTAGCCGGAAGCAGAAAGTTGCTAGCAGCAATTTTTCCATCGGGTCCACGCTTGCCTTGGACTAAGCTCACATCCACGCTCTTGAAGCTAGCGTCAGTCCAAGTGGCGCTGCCGGACCACGAGTTTCCGCTCAACTTCTGCGGGCCGGCAAAAGTGACCTGGTCCGCGTTTTTGGTGCTGGCCTTGTTCCTCGCAGCAATATTGTTGGACAGAGTAGCCACGGCATCCTTGACGTTGAAGCCGACGTCTTTGTTGTTCCAGGCCGTGTTGCGGGAGATGAGAAAGTTGCCTGGCTGGGAGTTGTCGGTGAAGCCCTTTGCGGCATTGGAGAAGGCAATATTATTTGTTACTACATGGTCTGCGGGCTGCGGATTGAAGTTAGCAAGGTGATGTTTAGTGGTGAGGGGTAAATTGATGGGAGAAACGTACGCCTTTCTCTCCTGCACCACCGCCTCCGAGCTTGTAGCCGTTGCCGTCGCCCGCAAAGTTGGGGAAGTTCCAGCGGTTAACTCCGTTGCCCCAGGAAATAGAGTCAACAATGGTGACCCTGGACTTGAACTCCCTGCATCTGATTAGTATTTCTAGCTTTGTGCGGCAATAGAGATGACGAACCATAGGTCAAGACCGTCATCGACGTTGTTCCACAACCGGGCGCCCTTCACGATGTTGCCCTCACCACTGCCCTCCTTGATGCCAATTCCATCCGCACTCTCGCCGTTCTTGCGGGGATCGCGATTTCCATAGCTGTCGAGATACAGAATCTTGTTGTTTGCGCTCGCACCCTGGAGCTGGAAACCCGTCTCATAGTTGTCATGTGTCACGAGACGCTCGAAGACATTGTTGCTGGAGGCTGTTGCATATACACCGTACGGTCCATTCTTCAATTCCAGACCGACAAACTTCCAGTAGTTTGCATTTTCAACGTGCAAGATGCCACGGTCTGGTCCTGCGATGCTTCCGCCAACGGGTGCAGGCGTTCCAGGGAGCGCCTCGCCATCGATGACGGGAACCTCTGACTGGTAGGCGCTAAGGGTGTAGGGAGCGGCTGATGTGCCGGATTTCTTGATTTGGATGTTCTTCGTGAGGGCGTACGTGCCGCCACGAAGGTAGATGATGTCGCCAGCAGCAGCTTTGTCAACCGCAACTTGAATAGACTTCAGCGGTGCAGCTAGCGTTCCGGCAGCAGTGTCAGAGCCGGCAGGAGCAACGTAGATGGTTACTGATAGCACGGATGGCAGGAGGAGAAAGACAGTCTGGAGGATAGTGAGCTGCATGGTGAAAGGTTAATCAATGCACAAAATATATACAATAAGTGAAGAAGATGATCAAGCAACCTAGGATAGCCACTTTTGGAGAACACACTCGTCCAGAATATATGCTTTTCTGACATCCACCTTTCGCTCCTGACCGCTCATTGTACCCCTCACACGCCATTCACACGCCAGATGGGGAATCACCGAGATGGCATAAGGTTTTCACGCGAGGTGTGCATGCTGGCTGTTGTCATGCTTCCTCCAATCATAGAAGATGCTTAAAGTAGAAGAATCTCCGAATGGGTGTTTCAAGAAGAAATCCACGAATAGGATGCTTGGCTTTCTGCTTGGCCTTTTGCTTGGCTCCCATCGAGAACTCTCCGATAAAGGACCTTCTAGACATTGACGGTGGAGAGCTGGACTCCAGGTATGGAGCTTTTCAGAATGATCCACAGTTTACTGAACTATTAGCTCCATATGTTTCCTAGCTCAAGGAGCAATCTGTTCGTAAGAAGCTGACGGTATACTAGGTCGCATAGCGCCGAATGTATAGGTGAAGGAGCGGCTAGCTGTTTAAGGCATTGCTTCTTCTATAGATCGATTAGATCCTGCGGCATTAGAACGGTGATCAGCTCTAGAAGATTCGTCCGAGGCAGAATGTCAGGTCGGCGATCGATTCGTGTTGTAGAGTTTAGGCCCAAAGTTTGTCGGTGACGCACGTGGCGCTAGCAAGCCGCGGCTGGACCCGACGACGTCAACCTCACGGTGGACCCTTGATTTGAACCATAACTTGTCTTTCTAGTCCTCATATTCTTGTATTTTTAGTGCTTGTTTGGCGCCTGGAGACATCACGCGTATCCCCAGTTGACACGCACACAATATCACAACCTTAAAAAGAAACGTCGCACGCGATCACCGCAGGCAACAAGGCCGGCCAAGCTACCGTTGCCCTCGCACCCACACCCTCTTCTCTTTTACTCTCCTCACACACCAGCCATGGCGCCACGCAAGATCTCGATCCCCACGGCACACGACCAAACGCCCGAGCACGGCAAAGCGTACACCGAATACACTGTCCGCGTCGATCACCCCTTCCCCCGCGCAACAACAAGCGTAAAGAAACGCTATTCCGACTTCTCTGCCCTCGATGCCGCCCTCCGCTCAGACGTCGGCTCCGCACCACCAGCCGCATTACCGCCCAAATCTTGGCTTGGCGGCTTCTTGGGGTTAGGAAATACAACAGGCTCACCAGAAGCTATCGAGAAGCGGAGAGCGGGGTTAGAAGAGTACCTGAAGGCGATTGAAGGTGCCGAGGACGGGCGGTGGCGTGCCGCCAAAGCATACCAGGATTTCCTCAATCTGGATGACAAGGAGGGGAAGAAGGTGGCTGGGTTTCCGGGGAGCCAGTTTGGAAAGGATAGAGTGAGGGATAGTTCGGATTGGCTGGACAAGCACTCTGATCTCAAGTCATCGTTACAGGACGCAAGACGATGGTTGACGGCGAGAGAACAAGCGACTGCTGCCACAGCGCAGCATGAAGCGGCAGCGAAGGCGAAGGCGAGCCTCGTACGCGCTGGTACACTCATATCTGCCTTAGACGAGGCGCTCGGGCGGCTGAGTGGAAGCAGTAGCGATGAGTGGTCGGGCGAAAAACTGGGCGAGGGAGAGATCAGAAGAAGAAGAGATATGATCAGTGGGCTACGAAAAGAAAGAGACGGGTTGGAGAGCGTGCTAAACAGCATGGCGGTCAAAGCAGCTATCTCCGGCTCTGGCAGCTCCTCCACACCATCCACGTCCTCAGCCGCCGTAACAGAATCACAGAAAGCCGGGCTATTCAAGGGTGCATCTAAACCCTCTGGACGCCGCGTACTGGGTGCGCCAGCACAGGAAACCGACAAGACGCGCGAGCTGGATAACGAAGGCGTACTGCAGCTACAGAAACAGATTATACAAGATCAGGATGAAGATCTTGTCGATCTCACTACCGTCGTGCGACGCATGCGCGAGATGGGTGTACAGATCAACACAGAGATTGTTGAGCAGAATGCTTTGCTAGGCTTGCTTGAGGAAGACGTTGAGAGGGTGGACGGTAAGATCAAGATTGCCAAGAAACGAGTGGATAAAATTAGATAGAAGACACTTTTGATAGCAAAGGAAGAAGGGACGCTGGAGTTACCACCGCATGTATGGAGCTGGAATTGGATGACATAATATATTTGATACCCTAGTAATAAAAGACATCTTCCGTACAGACTGCATCGCTCTGTGTCAAATATTCCTTATCTGATCGAATCCACGCCTCATCAATTCTTCCTCATCTCCGTACGTTCACTAAGATCACCCTATTTGATCTACAGGACCGGAGGTTAAGTTCATCTGACCATGTAGTGAGCTACTGTCTTAACGGGGACTAATATTGAACTTCTGAAACGAATAGCTTGACAGTGAAGGAGGGGTATACAAAACTCTAAACTTGTTTCATAGCCTCGTCTTCCAGAGTCTCAGGTCCATGATGAAGTCTACAGAACATCGGGGAAGCCCTTGTTCAAATCAAGTTCGTCATCACCACACTCTATGAACTCCCAAAGTCCTCCCTATGGACTGCTAGAAACGTCAAGCTCCACAGCTGCCGTACGTTGCTCTCAGTCGACGTTATCTCGCCCAGCTGCACCACCTTGTACCCGTTGTCGTACCGCCAGCTCCACACTTCGTGGCTGAGTTGCGCACGATTAGCCTCAATGAGGTCCCAGAGGCGGTTGTATGCAGAGAGAATTTTAGAGTGGAGCGTGGTGTCCTTGCAGAAGTCAGGAACATCATCTGATGTGCAGCGGCCAAGTTGTCTCGACAATCCAGCGCCCATCATTGCAAGCTGCCAGCTCCACACTACAGTGCCGTGGTAATCGCCATGCGAAAAGCCGGTCGCAAAACTCGTGTTTCCCGAGTACGCTGGGTTAGCAACGAACAAGCCCACGTCGCTCGATAGTCCAACTGGGAAGGGCTTGAGGATGTGGTCCGCAGTCTGGCCAAGGTATGCGCTGAGTTGGGTTTGGTTTGTCGTGTTGAGGAAGAAGTGTCGGAAACAGTCGTCGGTGTTCATGACTGGGACCACCGGGCCACCAACAGCACCGTCGAGGGCGAGGCCGTAGTATGTAACGTCAGCGTCGATGCTACCAGTGTTTGAAGGAACGGAGAGACTGCTGGCGTAGCTCTGCACAAGAGACTTGGCCTTGGATTGAGGCACAGTGATCTGGAAGAAGCGTAGTGTTTCATCCTCCCAGATTTGGGCATAGCTATGGGTAGTATTAGTATAATATCAATCAATATGGGCAGATAGTTGTAGGAGAGAGACTTACCTATCTGCAAGGACAGCCCAGTCTGAGTGATCCGTGAAGAAGCCCGCTCGGCTCAACGCAGCGATGGCGCGAAGCCCGGCTGGAACGAGAGCAGTATTGACGTTGTAGGGAGTACGGCCACCACCCAGACCTTGATTTGAGTCGCGCCACTCGCCTACTTGTTCGCCGTCTTTGAGATGAATGAGATTTTCTTTGGCCTGGCTCTTGGCAAATGGAGTAGCAATGCGCATGATTTTCTCCGATGTGAGTTCAGCTAGCTGCATGTAGTTGAATCCATCATTTTCGGCGAGAAATGTCGCAGTTTTGGCGAAGAAAGCTTTGGAATGCTGCTTCCCCGGCTGAGTTCCCACAAAGTAGCGCTCCATGGCAATAGGAAGGAGGAAGTCCGTGTCAATCATCTTGTAGTCACATCGTGGCTTAGACGACGTGATTCCCTCCTTGCGGTTGAGCCAGGTCGCGTAGTCACCGAGGATCTCTTCATGGCATACGGTCCCTGATATCAGTTAGTGGTGAGCTCAGAGGCTTCATTCATGTGGATGACTTCATGGGTTTCCTTCAACCGCTTCAGGCCCCTAAATAGGAATGGGTACGCACCGTCTGCACGATTGACACGCTCGAGAACTGCCCCAATCACAGCCTCGATTGCGTCCTCGCTAAGAATTGGCTGCATCAAAAGCATTGAGATCATACTGTCGCGACCGAAGTACGTGAGGAAGCGCCAGGTCCCAGCTAGGAGTTTATCTGTGTACGACAAGAAGGAGAGTGAGGTCGTCTGGTCCGGGTTCTGGGATATCAAGCCCGAGGCGTCCTTGGTGAGAACATCCGAGGGACCTAGCTGGTCAAGCTGAGGATAGTTGAATGAGGCGTCGAAGCCGTAAGTGCCAGATCCAAAGCTTAGTGTCCATGTTGCCCCGCGATTAAGTACTACCTAGAGTAGAAGTATCAGTACATACTTGTTGCAGAGACTAGGGTAATGCGTAGGTTTAACACCTGATCTCGCTAGTCACACAAGCAGCTGCAGTTAGGCAGCTTCTACAGGTCTAGGGGACAACTTACCGCTTGGGCGCCATTCAGTGGCGTAAAGGTCAGCCACGTTGTCGTAACACCGTCGAGCCACGTGCGATTGATAGTCGCACCTCCATCAGCATTCAATCTGAAGCCAAAGTTGCCCTGGAAGTCCTGGTTCGTGTTGCCACCCTCGGTAAAGTCTCGAATTGCTCGAATACTGCCCAATATTGGAACAGTAAGCCTTGCGGTGTCGTTGAAGTTGATTGCCCCGGATACTCCAACGCGAGTAGATTCGTTAAGAGGGTCTAGTGAATTTCCACTATCCGTCGAATTCTCTAAGCGGACACCAAGCGTGCCTTCCTGACCGGTCTCTGGGGCGAAAAGCGCCAAAGCACCGCTATTTCCAGCAGGCCAAGCGACAAGTAGACGAGGCTTGACGATCTTGAGGTCGCTATCCAGTCGAGGGCTAGTCACCACGACGTGTACACTCGAGTGACAGTCCGAGTAGAAGTAATTATCGTGCGGCGAATCCGGGAGGTACAACCTCGACGCGGGACCAGGACATGAATAAACCGAGAATGACGGAGCTTGTCGAGCCTCTGAAGCTGTGTTACGAGCAACGGCGGTCGCTATAAGGATGACTGTCACTAACAGGGCAAGGACAGCCATTGTTACTATGATTAACTGGTTAGTGGTTGGGCGCTGCATTGCGGTGGTGGCGTATGTCTTCCAAGACTGATCTATCACTTACTTGATAGATAAAAGACGTAAAGCTAAGTGAAAGCCCTCAGGCCGTTTGACGTGTGGTTACCCGTACCAGTCTTTGGTAACCCAACGGTGTGCACTAGTAGGACAAGTGTTGTCGAATGGAGCCCACGATGAAATGGAAGCGGCGCACCGAGCACGCGCTGGCTGTCAATGTAGTCTTTGATCCAGGTAACTAAACTATGGGGACAACTGGAGAGAGTCAAGTTTCCCCATATCCAAGGCTGCACAGTCATACATATATTACTTTCGCCCTGTTAGGCGCAGGGCGAAAGTATCGTCGACAGGCGCGTCTCCACGTCATAGCGTCAGTAGCTCCATCTCGCATGCGCGCGTATAACGTTCTCGCCAGAGCTGCCATGATTATTCAAGACTGACAGATTCAAAGGTCACGATGGCTAAGTTGGTGTTTTCCAAGTCTGGGGTAGAAGAGACTTGGTTGGTCTGTAAGACAGTCCGATGATCTCGCTTCCTGTGGCGCTTTCCCTATTATAGGACTGATCGACACAGGGGTCTGCAGTCGCCGCATCGCCCGTCATTGAGTTGCCTCTTTCGCACTACTCTCCACGGCGGTTATGACCGTTGCTAGCGACTAGAAAACTGCATCTGTCCTTGTGCCCTGTTTCTAGAACTACACGCATGTACTTTGTCGTCACTGCTGGTGTTGTGACCGACCCCACGGTCATCACCAAGGACGACATCATCGAACCCAGCACACATCGTTTGCACGGTAATAAGAACCATGTCTTCTTTTGCCCAGTTATCGTTGCAGCTATCGAAACCCTTGAAGATGCAAAAAATAGGCTGCATTTGCGCTGTTATCTCAAACCAAGATGCCGTACCTGCAGAGAAAGAACGTCAGCGAGTTGGGCACGTGAGCACCACCAGACCCATAGAGTACTAGAAGAACTAGCCTTCCAAGGTTGACGCATCACAATCAGCACTATACTACAGTCAAGGATTAGAGTAACACGGGCTCCAAGCAAGGAACTTCATCGCCTAGTTCGCTCGTACTGAAACAGAGCACGTGGGTTTTACGATTCATACTCACAGAATCATGACTCTGGCTACTGTCTCGTTGTGTCTTCCCTCTTTCAGTTTGCTTGAGCCTTGCTTAGACTTCTCGAATCGCCCAACGTCATCATGCTGCATACAGTAACACAGTACACTCTTTTTGTGTGGGCAGGGCCAAACACCCCACTAAAACTTTATTCATACGGGGAAATATTGTATACGCGTATACAAGGTGATTCCTATATTTATCAGAGTACGAAACATACTGTCGCTGTTACCAGCCAATCATGCGGCCAATTCTAGATGAAACAAACATCGCTAATCTGGGGTAAATGAAGGATGACATCGGTACCGCGCCAGCACGCTATAATTTCGAAACATCTAGTAGACAGGCCGTTTTGCGCACTTCGATATGGTGCGACATCCAATAGCACTTGACAATTTTTAGTTTCATTAGCGAACAACAACGCTTATATACTGTTCTGCCACTAATTTGGCCCTCAGCAACTACAGAACATCACTGCAAAGATGTATCAGGAGCTCACTTTCGTCTTCTTCTCTCTATTTCAGCTCATTGCGGCACACGGTCGCATCACCAACATCACAACGTCAACTGGCTCAGTCTACCCAGGATGGGATCCAGAGTTCGCAAAACAACCAACGCCCGCGCCTCAGCTCGCAGCTTGGACATCATCCAATCTCGGCAACATATTTGTTCCGCCTTCACGGTTCAACACTACCGACATAGCATGTCATTACGACGCTGTTCCTGGCGCACTGCACGTCAACACGACAGCCGGAGATACGCTAAAGCTACAGTGGAATGAATGGCCGACATCACACGTCGGACCGGTCCTGACGTATCTTGCTGAATGCAATGGAAGTTGCGCGAGCGTAGAGAAAAGTTCATTGAAGTGGGTGAAGATCGATGAGCTGGGATGGCTGAACAGCACGGGGTGGGATACGCTGAAGCTAGGCGGAACATGGGCGACAGACGTGCTCATTGCGAACCATTTCACCTGGACGATTAAGATTCCCGCGGCCCTAGCAAGTGGAAACTACGTCGTGAGGCACGAGATAATCGCGCTCCACGTTGCTGAGCAGCTGGACGGTGCACAGATGTATCCGCAGTGCTTTAACATAAGAGTGGCAAATGAGGAGGGAAGGGGAGAGCAGAAATTGGAAGGTGGAGTTATGGGGACCAAAATGTATGGGATGAGGGATGGAGGGATCTTGGTCGATGTCCACAAGAAGATTGCGGGATACGAAATTCCGGGACCAAAGCTATGGAGTGGTGCGATGAAGACGAGGCAACCGAATGTAAGGAAACTAGTAAGAAGGAACGCGTAGAGACAGGATATCTTTGAGAATTGAGTTTGAACACTTAGATGCGGCGTTGCGCCCCTAGTATGATCTCATTCTTAGTATGGTTCTAATCCTAGAGACAGACTGCACAGAGAAGACACAACCCCGATGCCACGAAAATGACACTGATCGTGATACCTTATCCTGGACTCTCAGAAAATATAGAAACGAGAGAGAGAAGAAAACGGTAGAAGAACTACTAGAGCTCTCTGCGAACCGTAGAAGCGGTCAAAAAGATACCAGATAGTCATCAATATGTCTAAACACACTCCGAAATGCTGGGTAATGAAAGATCAGCGATTGGAGGTACAGATTCATCTCTTCCGAACGCTAGGCAGTGTCGTCACTTGCGAATAGTCCTCCATCAACGCGTAGTGGTAACTTCGGCCCCCTACACTCATCTGCTTTCTTCACAAGTTCCCTGAGTTTAGGAGACTTCTCGATGAAATCTTTCTTGCTGTTAATCATGGGTTGGACCAAGTCAATATTAGCGCCCTTCTCGAGCAAAAGACAACAGATCTCGGTTTCTTCCTCGTACAACGCTTCACATAGTGGCCGATTACCATCTCCGATATATCTCGGTCCATCCGGGTTTGCCCCTAGGTCCAGCAGCTCTTTGATTACGGATAGTGATCCATACTCAAATGCAGTCCCGATCGGAAAGTCGTGATATAACATCTCGTTGACCTCAAGCGTGTTGCCCTCAAAGAAAACACGGCTGACTTGGGGGTGGTTGAGTTTACAGCTAAGTTCGAACGCGTCGTAGATACAAAGAAGGCTGCAGTGATGTCGAAGGGCCACAATTAAACGAACGTATTCTGGTCGACCAGTCCTAACCGCTGCTTTCAACCACTTCTCCATACACCTCTGGCTTGCTGTGCCGAAGGCTTCGACATATTTCTCAACTAGATATTGCAGGATTTGGCTGTACTGACGCTGAATAGCTACACGAATGGCGACAGAGAAAGGTTTCCGCTCGGTTTGCCATGCGAGCAGCCTATCCAGCTCTAGATCAGTGATAAACTGGATGACAAACGCCTTCACAACGTGAAAATGGCCTGCATATGTTGCGGCAACGAGTGGGTAGCCGAAAGCGACAGATTTTCCCCAAATACTGCTGCGATCTTCTTCGGCGAATGTTCGAATAGCCTGCAGGTTTCCTGCTGCAGCGGCGGCGGCAACCCGATTTGGCACATTGTCGATGGTGATGTGCTGGAGCTTGGAAATACCTAGGGCAGTGCTCGGAATGGTAGTAAGAGCAAAGTACGTCCACTTGTAATACTTGACGAGGACTTTGCAAAGAGTGTGCCTGATAGATTGTGCAGCTCCCTCGCTTTCGTTGCCCGTAGCGATCGCTAATTCGTTCATAATGGCGCGGATGAACTTTGGGACTAGGTCACGAGCGAAGGTGGTTGGGTTGTTGCTTCGATGGAAGACATAGCCGACCATGTTTTTCTTCAAGATAGTGCGCCCGGCTTTGCTACTCAGATATGTGTTTAGATGCGGCCTGGAAAGAACCTCGTAATCGATGTAGGAGCGAAAGGTCCCTAAGCACGAACGTAAGCGCACAGAATCTTTGTTTCATTGTTATGGACTCACTGCAAGTTCCTCTCGTGCCCCATGCTTCGATAATTCCGACATTCTTGACGTAAAGTTCAAGGATTCGCTGGAGGAGCTCCGGTGGTAATTCAACTAGCTCCATGGCTGATGAGCGTTTGATCGATTTCTAGGGGGCTTTAGATACGGCAGTTTAGCTTTTTTACACCTCAGAAGCTCTGCAGTTGCCTAAAAGTTTGTGTCGTGGAAATCACGTGTTGGTGAAGTGAATCAGAAAAGCCGAACACGTGGTTGACTAGCGCAACGAGCGGCTTTGGCGGGCGCGGCGCGTGCATTTTGACCTTGACAATCATCACAAATCATCTTTCACATCCTTCGTTCATCTCGAAGCGCCATTTGAAAATCTCTTGTCTATTGTCCCGACCCTCATACCTCGTGACAAAATGAAACCTTCCTGGTATGCGCGCGCATCCCCGCAACGAGAGGAGAAGAAGAGGTTTAAAGCTCCCACAGAGCTTCTAGTAATCATTTCCTGCAACTTCGCCATGGGCCCATTAATCTTCGTCATATGAATTCCCTGAAGCGTAGATGCAAACGAATCACCCTTTGCCTACTACTTCCACCCTACTCGCGATAACAATATCCGCCAACTCCGTTATACTTGTCGCTGTATCCAGCAACTTCAGGAACGATATCGTGCACTTATAGGTGCTAACAAACCAGTTTCGCAACTCAGCTGCGATCAGGCTGTCCATTCCATAGGCTGCGACGCCTTTTGTTGCGTCGATGCCCTCGGCAGAGATGAACAGCATGTCTGCCATGCGAGCGATGATGGACTTGGTTACTAAAAGAGTGGCTTCTCCGATATCTTTCGATCCTACTATGGCATCCACTTCCGAAAGAGCAGCTTGAGCGTCCGAACTGGAGTTTAATGGAGTGTGGGGTTTGGCGGTTGCACCCTCGTCCAAGGCAGCAAGATTCTCCATCGCCCGAATGATATGAGAGAATCGTACGTCCGAATGCCATCTTGCCTTAGAAAAGAGTTCACTAGAGGCTGTTCCCTGCTGCGCCTTTTCAAGCTCCAACAACCGTGCCGGGTCCAACGCAGTGATTAGGTGCCCATCAGCGCGATTATCATATCGCCTCCAATCAGACATCTGGTTATCAATTCCAATGTTGGCGAAAACATGATCCAGGTGTTCCAAAAAGGCATACTCGCTCGTGTGGTAAAGCCCATTCCTCATCGTAGCGTTATGGTACACAGGATTCTGGCCCAAATCGCCCGCTTCTTCGATTAGTCCAAACTCGACGGCCATAGCTGGCAAGCCTATGCTTCGACGGTACCTGGCGAACTCATTTTGGAAGTTGTTCGATGCGCAGTATGTCGCTTGTGTCGGCAATGCAACTTGCGCTACATTAGAGCTGACCAGGACAAAGAAATCCAGTGGAAGATGGAGCGATGCTTTGTGTAGATTGATAGTCCCATCGACCTTGACGGCTAGTCCACGTTGCCACTGAGAGAAAGTGAGAGAATCGAAAAGTTTGTCCTGTTGACGATGTTAGAGCCGACGCATCAGTGGGAACATCTCAAGAACGTGGACATACCTGGAGTGAAACGGCCGTATGCACAATCCCTTTGATGACACCTGATTGCGAAGTTTGAGCTATCACAGCTTCTACTTCGCTCAGATGTGACACATCACAGCAGATATGCTCAAGGCTATAACCCTGTGCAGCGATACTGGAAATAAAAGGGCTGTCCGCTTGGTCCGGAGCAGACCTGGACAGGGTAACGAAATTCCTAGCTCCTCTTTCAGTCATCCAGGAGATGATGCTTCGTCCAAGACCCCCGAGACCGCCGACAAGTACGTACTTTGCTGTAGAATCGAACCGCACTCCTGATTTAGGTGGTACCATGTTGATCAGTGATGAATGATCGTCATACGTAATCACAACTTTTCCGACATGGGTTCCTTTTGAGAGATACAACAGGGCTGGCGCAAGCTGAGAGATCCCGAACGTCTTGATGGGCGAAACTGGTGGTAATGAGCCATTATGCAACATCTCAGTCACCTCTGCAAGAAGCTTGCCGCACAGCGCTGGCTTATCTTCGATGAGAATGCCGAGGTCGAAAGAGGAGAATGTGGCATTACGCTTGAAGACCTCCAGAGCCATCGTTGCATGGTTCTGCACATCGACACGACCAACGTCAACGAAACGTCCAGCTGGTGCAAGGCATCGCAGCCATTCGTTCAAACCGTCACCCGAGCCCATACTTAGGATAAGGTCAAAACCAGCTCCTCCGGTTGCTTCTTTGACCGCCTCTATGCTGGGAGATGTCCTGGACGAGAAGATCTGTGCATCCGGAATACCGTACGTGTCTCGAAGGAATGCGCGCTTCTCCTGGTTTCCAACAGTGACCCATATGTCCGCTCCTAGACGGCGGGCGAGGTTAATCGCCGCGATACCAACACCACCAGATGCGGACTGGATCAATATCTTTTCTCCTGCTTCGACACGTCCTAGGTTGATGAGAGAATATAGGGCGGTCATGTATACTACGGGAACCGCTGCCATCTCAGTGAAGTTTTCAGCGTGCATGTGTTGGACAAGGGAGCTATGACAGCGCATATAGTTTCCAAACTTCCCTTTCGAGATGCCAAACACCTTTTCGCCAACCTGGAAGGTCGTCACCTCTTTGCCGACGTTCGTCACGATGCCGGAGCATTCGGAGCTAAAGTTGTCCAAGTCGAGCCGCCCTGCACAGACTGCAAGATCTTTCCAATTCAACCCGACAGCGACTGTGCGCACTTCGATCTGATTGTCACTTAGTGGCTTCCAGAACGCCGTGTCTTCCTCGAAGAACACTGAGCTTAAGATGCCGGGTGTCGCAAATGAAGCTGCGAGTGGAGGCTGGTCACCGATTGGAAGCAGCTGTGCGTCGGTTGTTTGAACATGCAAAGAGCGTTCATTCAGATCATTGTCGGCAATCAATCGACTTATGCTGAGGGTGCCATCAACTATTTGGTATTCGGCGTTTAGTGAACTTTCGCCCTTGGTCAAGAGAGTTCCATGTAGCTCCAGAATCTGCTCCATCGAACTGTCGTTTTCTAGATCGCCGGTGCTGACACTGACGCTGGTGTAAACTATTGAAGGGTTTTCAGCGGCCATCACTCTAAGCAACCCGTTCACCACTCCAACATATGGATATGAATCGATGGAATCGTCTGCAATGTTAATCCAGAGAACTGATTGCGATTTTGATAGCACCCGCTTGATCGCGGAGAACTGCGAATTGCTATTTGGTAGGGGAGAGCTGCCATTGGAAAGCACAATCACTCGAGACTGTTCTGGTAGGTTTTCGCTACTATCAAGCCACGCATATGTTGGCCCAGTCAGGTGATTGGCCTTGAGGTTATCGATATACGAAGCAGGGTTTAGACCGAAGAACGAGACAATTTGGACCGGGGTGGAATCCAGTTCAGAAAGCGCTTGATCAAGCGCAACAGGCAATGTCCCAACCTCCACAGCGGATGTGAGGAATGTCGATATCATGGTATAGGGTTGAGGATAATCGTCCAGTTCAATATCGATACCTGAAAAGCCAGCCTCGCAAAGCATTGTTTGCCATGCCTCGACCGGAAGGAAAGGACTGTCCTTACGAGCTTCCTCCGTCCCAATCCAGTAATCTGGTAGCGTACCCAGAACAAGTCCGTGGGTGATTTTGGGTTGAGTACATTCCAAGATGAGGAGCTTGCCTCCGGGTTGCAACAAGGAACGGGCGTTACTAAGAGTTAGGTTGATGTCTTTGGTAACATGGATTGAGCATGAAGCGATGACTAGGTCGTATATTGGTTCGAATCCCTGGCTCGACGGCGCCTGCTCGATATCTAGAACGCCAAAATCTAGTCCGTGATATTGTGAGAACTCTTTCCGCGCTTCGAGAAAGTAGCCATGTGAGACGTCGGTAAAGGTGTACGTATGATATCGCCGAAGATAATTCTCGCCATCCAGGGTCCTGAGCGCAACTCTAGTCGCGCCACCGGTTCCGGCGCCGATTTCTAGGATGTTCATGCCCGGATTAGCATGGGCGAGCAGGTCAACTATGCGCTCAAGCTGCGTGTATGCTGCTGAGATACCCAATCCCGAATTGTACATCTTCGAATGCGAATCGTCCTGGCGAATGACCTCGAGGCTTGATTTCGTGCCTGTGAGGATATTATCTAGGTTGTCATAAATACGTTTGGAGATCGGAACTTCGACGACGTCTTGAAGCTTTATGCACAGCTCGTTGATCAACGATATACGGTCTGCGCTCGAAGTCGCTGCGGCTTCTATCGCCATCGATGATGCAGAATTTGCCATTCGCCCAGCCCAGGCCAGAAACTTTTGGAAGTGGTCTGTTAGATCTAGATCGCTCGCATGATCACCAAAATTCTCCGCAATGTCTATTACCATCAAAGCACCTAGTTTATCAACGTCTGCGAACATGTTCTCCATGCCTCCGGTTGTCTCTGTTGGTGGGAACAAAGTTCGTGCTTGCTCCCAACTCATCTTCTCCAGATATGGCTTCCAGACAAGACGCATATATGGCGATCCAGAAGCTTTTTCTACGCTCCTTTGCTCCTGGGAAACACCAGAATACGCGGTGCATCGAATATCGATAATATCCAACATCAATTCTCCGGAAGTATTCACCAATTGCGCTTTAGCGTAGGCCCCCCGCAAGCCGCGGCATGCACCCTTTGCAGTTGCAGTGCCGAAGTCGTGACCATGGGTTGTCGGAGCCCAGATAGTCAACTCTCCTACGAAAGACGGAACATAGGCTGTGCTCATCTGCTCGACTTGGCCTCCATGAGCCGCTATAAGGGCAAGTTGAGCACACATGTCTAATGCAGCTGGATGTATGAGGTAGGCGGACTCGGGCCCGTTGAAGAGTTCTGATGTTGTTTGCAACGCTACTTTGGCTTGCGCGACATTCAATAGCGGGTCAGACGACAATTCGGTAAGCCTCCGGAAACTTTCGCCGTAATCAAGGCCCACGTCACGAAATCTCTTGTACCATTTCGATGCACTGATGGTGCGGCGGTCCATTGCGTCCGACATGAGCGCCGGAGTGTCTCGCTTTGTGTTTGGTTTGATAATCCCAGAACAATGTTCAGTCCAGGTATCTGTACCCACAACGATGGAGCTGATTTTGAAAGTACACCACGTCATTTTGTCTTTCGACTGCATAGTCTTCGAAGCATCGAGATCCAGGATCACTTCTACCCCAGCATCGTTCTCGGGTATCACAAGCGCTGAATTCAGCAATAGATTGCGGATAGTGAAGCCAGCAGCTGAATTGATTATGTCCTCATCGTGGAAGAACTGCGCTGCAGCTTCAATGGCCATGCAAATGTACGCAGAAGCTGGGAAAACTGCCTGTGGAGCCAGCCTATGGTGGCTGAGCCATGGTATATCTTTGATCCGTAACACATTTCGCCAGCTTGGACGAAGCCTCGAACCACCTAGCTGTTTCGAGCCCAGGATATCGTGCTTGAGGTGTTTCCGCAGGCGATTTTCTTTGCTCAAACGGTTCTCGTGGTATATTATTGGCCCGTAGCTGTACGAATACTTTGGGAGGTTGATACACATGGATCCATGCTCATATCCCAGCAAATTGCCCTTTTCGTCAACCTTATCGGTGGAGTTGGCGATTCGGAGGTCGATAGGTGCATCTATGCAAAATAGATTGCCACAAAGACTGAGTATATTACGCATTCCATCTTCGTGCCTTCGAAGAGTAGGGAGGTATGAGAACTCCTTGCCGAGATGGAATAGAATCTGACGCAGGGGAGACTTGAGCGCAGAGTGTGGTCCGACTTCGATCAGGACATCTACTTTAGCTGTTGTGGATGCCATCATGTTTTCGACTGCCCGCGAGAACTGGACTGGTGCCTGAAGATTCCATCGCCAGTACATTGGATCCAGTTTCAACCCATCTCTTGGTTTATCTGGTGTCGCTGATGAGAACCACTCACATTCTTGCCGTCGAGCACTGGAAGAGGTAGAATCAATCACGTTCAGCTCTTTCCAGGCTTTTTCAAGCAAGTCCACATACGTATCGCCAACTGACGCCATGTGATGCGAATGATACGCGTTGCGACCGGTCTGCAGCAGCTTAGCAAACACGCCTTTTGATAGGAGGATCTCGAAAAGTTCCATAGCCGGCGCGGTGTCTCCAGAGAGGGTCACACTCGCCGGTGAGTTGACAGCAGCTATTCTTACGTTATACTTGAAGTTGTCTAGGTACGGTTCAATTTCATCTCTTCCGAGGCCAACAGCTAGCATCAGTCCACTCTTCTTGTTACTTGCCACAGCGAGTCCACGGCAATAAGCGATGGTGATAGCTTCTGCGGCCGTGACGAGTCCAGCAGCGTAAGCTGCACCGATCTCGCCTGAGGAGTGACCAACAGATGCAACCCATTCCATTTTCCAGGAGCGAAGCAGATCGATGAGTGCTACTTGGAGTGCTGTACATACCGCCTGGGATATCATCGGTTCATGGAGTCTGTCCCTCAATTTCCCGGAGATAATATCATAGATTGACCAGGAAGGTGCGTTTGACAGGGATGCCAGAGTACTGTCTTGGTGCGCGATAGAATTCCGAAACACGGCGTACTCGAAAAGCTCTGCTCCCATACCTTCCCATTGCGCGCCTTGGCCTGTGAAGACGAGGCCAATATTTGGCTTTTGTCCTGCGACTGGCTTGGAAGGCGTTGTGGTTTTGATGTCTAGGTTTGCACTTGATCGCTGAGCGTCGACGACGCAATAATCCCGGTGTTTAAATCTTGACCGTCTTGCTGATAGCGTATATATGAGATCCGCCAAGTCGGAGTCGTACATGACATTGGAAATCGCTTGCATGTTCTCCTTCAAAGCAGTTTCTTCTTTAGCAGAGAATGGTAAGATTACCATACGTCGGGTGCCTCTAGGGGGGTCACGCCCTTGACCTAGCGAGTGAATCTTGTCTTTGGCTAAGGACTGATTCACACCTTCCGCCATGCTATTATGGTGACCACCATTTTGAAGCCCACGCGCCCCTTCCCGGGCATACCCTGGAAGCGCCACAGAAACATCATCCAAGACACAATGACCGTTCGCACCACCATAGCCAAACGAGTTGATACTAACTCTCCTGAGTCGATCCACTGGCCACGGCTCAAGTCGAGTCACAGGTCGTACGCGTGCTCCCTTGAAGTCGATCCTGGGATTCAGTCGGCGTATGCCAATGGTAGGAGGTATCAGTTCATTCTCCATGGACAACACGGCCTTCATCAAACCAGCCATACCACTCGCTGCCTCTGTGTGCCCAATATTCGACTTGACTGAGCCAATACGAAGGTCGCTTGTTCCCGAGCTTTGGGAGAACACCTGCCCGATCGCGTTAATCTCCGTTGGGTCGCCGACTTGCGTACCGGTTCCATGTGCTTCGAAGTAGCCGGTCATGCTCGGATCCAAGTTCGCATTTGCGTAGGCCTGGCGTATGACTTCCACTTGACCCTCCGCACTCGGATGCGTGATCCCGGCAGTTCGCCCATTAGAGTTTATGGCAGTACCTCGGACGACAGATCGAATGGGGTATGAGCCTGCTACAGCATCTGAAGTCTTTTTCAGGTAAAACGCAGCAAAGCCCTCGCCCCGGGCATATCCGTCTGCTGCTGCATCGAAGACATGACATGTTGTAGTCGGTGACAGCGCGCCGAGCTTCGACAGTGAGAGATGTAAATCAGGACTCAGAATGAGATTACCGGCCCCGACGATGGCGGAATCACAATCGCCATTTTTGATTGCGTTTACAGCAAGATGAAGCGCGTATAGCGACGATGAACACGCGGTATCGAGCGTCAAACTTGGTCCATGCAGATTGAAAATATAGTTGATTCGATTGCTCAGAATACTGGTACTGCCTCCAGTCGTTGAATAGGGCAATAAATTGTCGATATCTCGACTTTGCATAAGGTTATGGTCGGCCGTAAAGTTGCCAACGAAGACTCCCGTTCGCGATCCGGAAAACTTCTCCCATGGTTCTCCAGCATCCTCGAAGGCCTCGTACACGACCTCCAGAAGTTTCCGGTGCTGTGGATCTAGTGTTAGAGTCTCTGTCGGTGTGATGCCGAAGAAGGCGTGGTCGAAGAGCTTTGGATCTTCTCGAAGTTGGTAAGCCCCTCGCGCAGGGGTACTGCCGGGTCGCTGTGGGTTGGGGTGGTAGAAGCCTGGGATGTTGAGTTTACTATCGTCATCAAAATCGCTATAGCCGGATTTTCCATTCGCTAATAGGTCCCATAGCTGTGATGGTGTGGTTACGCCGCCGGGCCATCGACATCCTGTTCAAAAGGTAAGCGAGCATTCGCTTTCTCGAGATAGAGAAATTACCCATCCCAACAATGGCAACGGTGTCATCCAGTGCACATTCGCTGTTCGAAGGGTATTCGGCCTTATCAGAGCATTCTGTTGCAGAACCAGGCGATGGCTGGTCTGAATATGGATAGGAAGCGTGAGGAGTCATGATGTATGTCAGAAGTATGGTATGTCACATCGTTGAAGGTAGACCCTATAATTCATGAAACTGATGTGATTTAAGACTACTGAATACTTTAATGACCCTGATACTCCGTAGTAAGAAGATTGTCTCCCTTCCAGCATGGTAAGCCCTAATCTGCCTTGCCGGCCCCTCTTAGAGAGCTTCCAGGTCATGACTGATACGTGTACTCGCCGACATTCTGATGTAGAATTCATAGCGCAATAATCAGCCACAGTTGTATACATGTAAGAGCGATCCAACCGTACGGCTATGCCTGGCGGGAATTTATCATACCGCTCATTTGGCCCTTCGGGTAATATCCTGGCGAAATAGAGACGATACTAACAAGGATATAGATTGCAGCAACGCTACCTCTTAATGCGATTGCGTGTAATGTGAACAAAATCTAATTTCCCATGTTCGAGAAGCCGCTCAAAATAGCGATGGTACACATTCCTAATCGAGACCTGCTACAGTACCACTACCCGAGACCAAATGCACTTCCAACAGACCCATGCTCCCGTTTCCGTAGACTCGTACAATCTGCAGTCTTGGATCAGCGTCGTGCAATAGTCGCTGGAACTCTTTTAGCGTGCGCTGCTTCGCCCCCAAGGACACCATGACTAGCATATCGACCTGTCTCAACGAGTGCTCTTCGTATCGGCTCCTCGTACCGGGTTCAGGTAAAATCATTTCGTTGATAAGCAGCGGTGTTTTTGGTGCGCACTTCTCTAGTGCGGGGACAATGTTCCGCAATATTCGAACGCAGTCAGCGTCGTTCCAATTGTGCACCACTTGCCGAATGAAGTACGCGCCAGCGTTCAGCTCCGGCTGAGGGTCGAAGAAATCATGCTCCATGAAGGTGACACGGCCGTCAAGATCGCTGAGGTTCTGGGCTTTGCCCTGCGCAAGGAGGTCCTCCGAGCCGTCTTGCACGATAAACTTCAGGTGCGGGTATATCTGGACCTGGTCAGCAATGTCGTGGCGCAGTATGGAAGCGTTGCAGTCAAGTGCTTACTCGAGCCAGCCAAATGCTAGCATGCCCACTAGCACCGCCGATATCCACAATTTTTCCCCCTCGGAACGAATCCCACGCGAATCCATCCTTCAGCTCATGGACCTGTCGATCAACTGCAAGGCTTGTCAGCATTTGTGTAACTTAGGCTAATGACTAAACTAAGCACTGACGTTTTGCCACACCCTTCAACGCACGCCCAAATCGCGCGGCCAATTGGGGATTTTGCTGGTAGTACTGGAACAGAGGGACCCCAAAGCGCACCTTGAAGGCCGAGTGGAGGTGGTCAGACTGATATGGATTCATGCGGGTGGCTGCGCTTGCCTCAGCGGCTGCCTTGAAGAATTCATCCAATCTAAGTGCAAGTTAGTTCTCTCCGATGTGATACAGCGAGAGGCAGTGATGAGTGTGCTTTGAGACTCACTGGTAGTGCGCTGCAGCGTAGATCTCGGGGTCTTTAGCAAAGATTGCCGAGTGTGTGGTATGCGCGAACACCCCAGGTTCTTTTTCCGTAAACACTCGGTGCGTGGTGAGAAATCTGATGACCCTTGCGACACGGTCCTCGTCGAAATTGACTCTTTCCGCAAGCTGGGGGATCGTAATCTCGCCTGTCAACGGGATCTTGTTGAAGAAGTCGTGGTCGAAAGCTATCTGAAAGGCGGCTAAGTCGTGCTGGTAGCAGAATAGCGACCGAAAGTGTGCTTTAGGCCCATTGACGAGCATGAGCAAGTCATTAGCTGCATCGTTAAGGGATGCACGTGCCGCCGCGTATTCTGGGCTATCGGGACGCTCGATGAAGTTGTTCTCGAAAGTAGGCTCGGGATAGCCGCTGAGTTGTAATTGCTTCTCAATCTCTTCAGTTTGTTGTTTAATTTGAGCGACGAGCTGTAGTAGGCTGGAGGTGTTAGTTTCGGACATATTTTGGAATGAGCGAGGATGCAAATAATTTTGGTTTCTGATAATGGCCGATAGACTCTCACTTTGCGATGTACTTTATACGCGTCAGTGGGTTACCACACAAGCTATGACAGGGGTTGCTTAAACACTCATTTCCAGCCCTACACACGTTTCGGCTTGGGATCCAATGTATGTATGTGAATCAGCCTTGCGCTAGGTAGTAACGCTTATACAACGCTGAAAGGCAGCTGAACGAAGGACCACAAGCGGGGAATGCTTTAATCGTTTCAAGGACCACTATGTAGACAGAAGATCTTTAAGAGACTAGGAATCAATTTATTAGTGGTCTGTATCAAACCTTGTCCTTTGGCATCTCTCGATACCTGTACTTAGAGGGGGCGTCTATGTCATGTGATTCTGGTATGATATTCGATCAATTCAAGTAAAGCAAAGCTGACATGCGTACAACCTTCTGGGGCCCCCAAGATTACGTGGCGGGGTGATAACGTCAGCCCATAAAAACCTTGGTACGCTACCTCATGAGATAACTTGGTTTGAGCAGCCTGATTAGAACTAGCTTACCAAACAAACAGTGAATGCTCAGCCTATTAATACTTTCATTTAAGGTTCACTATGCAAGACCTACGACACTCTGTACGGAATTTTGTTATTCATAATACATTCCAATGCTATACAGCCGAACGCGCGTCACTCCTAACCATCCATTCTGAATGGCACTGGATGGTGTGATGATTCGCTTCATCCGCCACTACCCTATTCACAGGGCTGACTTCTACAATGCTATCCGTCGCTGAATCTGGCCATGACTTGAGAGCCATACTTTCCCACGATGGCTGCTCTGATTTGATGTCCGGCTTCGGTATAGAGTCGGAATCGGAGCCACCCTCGCTGTACCCAGAGCGCTTCCGCCCCATGATCGATGAGTACCCGACTGTCACTTTTTGGCGGATCGCAAGGAGTGGCGGGGAGATGAGTGGAAGGCAAGCACCCATGATACCGAGATATAGCTCGAGCTCACCGGGAATTCCTGCGATCTCGCCGTCGTGGTTGAAATCCAGAGGGTTGGTAGCGAGCACGAACTTGAATCTAAAGGCAGCGAGAAAGCAGATACTAGCCAATGTTAGCACTAAAGCTCTCATCAAAGTGAAGATGAAGTACTTACAAGAGACCCAAACTGAACATGCCAATGATACCGATCTTCTTCATCTTCGTGACGTGTTGCATCTTCCAGACTACCGGTATTGGCATCACCACGAGTATTACGTCAATAACTAAATTGACGGACCCCGAGACCAGGAAGCCGGTCTTAGGTACCATACATTTACCTCCTGGTATCGTTCTGTCCCAATTAAAAGCAATCGGGCTGCACTGGAAAAGCGTGCCCATGGTGAAAGCAAGCCAGTATGCCACAACTACGCCCATCATAATGTGGACGACTAGAACGAAGCGTTCGACGCATCGGAAGATTCCACGGTAGAGGAAGAGGATTGAGAGCTTTGTGAAGGTGACGATTGCAAGCCAGAGGAAGAAGCCAGTGTATGTTATCTGAGGTCTGTTTAGTACCAGAAACTCGTCGATCTTGTAAATTCTTTACCTTGTTTACAGGTATGATAACGGAGGGTCCTGCAACAGCCACGAGATCGTTGAAATGCGTTCCAACCCCCCAGCTAGCAGCTACAATCTTGCGGATCATATCGGCCAATGCGATGGACTGGATAGTGAAGTCAGTCAAATATCCTCAGTCTCTGAATGGCTCCTATTGAACATACCCATGCGATGATGATGAGGTAGTCGCTCGCATCCAGCGACACATGCTTCAGCCGTCTGGCCCATAATCGCAGTAGAATAAAGCCAAGATCGACGCCGGTGAAGACGGCCGCGATGATCACAACAGCTCTGCCTACAGGATTTGGAGGTATCGCCATGATGTCATGCGTCAAAAGAGTTCAAGAGTTCAGCAGACAAAGTTAGAACAAAAACGTCTGTCCTTTGAAACACAGCGTTTGGTAGTAAGCGGGGCGAGAAGGCAGCAACAAAATCCGACAGGGCAACGTACACTTTTACCCGCTCAGATACCAGCTGGAGCGGAGGAGATACCGGAGCATACACAGCAGGCTTACCGCCTTCATCTATCTCGGGGTCCGAAGGATGCCTTACTTGGGCCCGAGGGAGTGGGTCTCATGCAATAAGCCCAACTCTATTGCTGTCAGCAACGTGTAACGATAAGACGCTGTGCATAACGTCGGGTCTGCGGATTGCGCGTTGTAGTACATGGTGTGCGCGTGCGCACTGATCAACCTAGCACTTTTGTGCAACGGTACAACCTGAAAAGAATGGGTGGCATGACGCCTTGACAAATCGTGAATGAAACAGTTAGCTGTCCTGTGATTTTTGTTCGAGCTGTCCAACACTACCAGCTTTTTAGCAGGCATAAGAGAGAAAGCAAGAAGACTTTTCATGTATTAGGAGTAGCTGTAGGGCTCTAAAAGACATTGCCACCATTCCATTAAGAGGTGTGAAACTTTCTGGCTCCACGAGACTCGCTGTAAGAGGCGCGAAAGACGTTATATAGAAGAAACGTGAGGCGTATTACCGTATTGATTCCATCTCATGACAAGATACTATCAAAGTTGGCATTGGGAGATTCTTTCTTGAAGAGCGCAATGGTTTCATCCCATAGCTTCTTCTGAGCTTCCTTGCCCTCAGCAGAGAGCACGTATTTTGATGGCCTTTTTTATGTCAGCTACAAGCTTCCCTTCATGTTGATAGTACTCACTCGGTAATCTTCTGCTCCTGAATGTACGCTCCGTGTGATTCAGTCTGCTTCGAAACTGCAGCATCCGTCACAAAGTACGCACCCTGCTCAGGAGTCCATGCAAGCAGCTTCTTGAGAACCTTAAACCCAGAAGATGGGTCGTGACGATGGAGTTGGCTAGCAATGAATCCTGGGTTCGTGCCGTTGATAATAACTTCCTTCACGTCAACTTTGGAAGCCAGTTCCCGAAACCAGAGGACATTCAGCAGCTTCGATGTGTAGTAGCGCTCCATGCCTTCAACAAATGAGTCCTTCTGGTCCATGCGCTCTAGAATATTTGACGCCGTTCTCTCATTGAAGGGCGTCCAGAAGTGCACTTCCGAAGAGGTGAAGGTGAGACGACTAGGGCGTCCAGTTTGCTGCGATGTTGATTTAAGAACAGGTATTATCAGAAGCGATAGTAACGCCGTGCCGATATGGTTGACCTGCAGATTCGTCTCGTGGCCGGAAGCTGTTGTTGTGAACTTGAGCTGCTTGACGGCTGCATTGAGAACTGCGATGTCGAGACGGTCGAGTGTCTTGACCTTATCCGCAAAAGAAACAATGCTGTCGGTAGACTCCAGATCTAGGTGCCATACCTGGAAGTCACATCCTGGATTGGTTTTCGCCAGGTCGTCCTTTGCCGTCGCTCCTCTGCTCGCATCACGCACTCCAAGGATGATGCGAGATACGCCATGCGATGCGAGCTGTCGAGCTGTTTCTAGGCCAATTCCTGCATTTGATCCAGTGATGATCGCTGTTTGCTTATCAAGGCGTACATTTGGTGGCAGAGGTTTCGGCTTGAAGGTAATCTGAGTGAGGAGGAATCCGAGTTGGCCACCCATACCTAAGATTGTGTCGGTAGTTGCGTCTTCGGTAATGAATTTGAATCTCAAGGGCGGTAAAGGTGTGTTTATTAGGGGAAATGAGTGAAGGTGAGGCTTCGAGAAGGTGCACAAGGCTGCCACCGCCAAGACGCCATCCTAAAGCGGGTGCCACCAGTGTCACTACCATCCCTGCGTCGGCCTCTCACATGAATTCCTGGGTCTGATCATTGTTCGATTTCTCAATCACGCGACGATAAATATCAGCGGCGTGTGGTGCTGCGATACCAAGCAACGGTACGCGCCGCAGCTTACCGGCTGAATGTGCTACCTTGTCCACACTATTCAACAAACCCGCTTTTGCCACTAGGGCATCGTCCCGCATTATGTCAGCCTTGCAATTCCGAAGAGCTTTGTGTGACCCAACCTTGACAAGGGCGAACGATTGGTACGGATATGGACAAGAAGGTGGCTTAGACGCGTTGAAATGGACAAGCTGCATGAAGGCTATAAAAACTCGCAAATCTATCTAATCTATACAGGTACATTTTACACGCAGTCTATTTTGAGCTTGGGCATTCATCATGTCCTGTCCACTTTAAACCCCCCAGGAACCCGGGTCTGGAAGATTCGCTCCGGGTCGTATTTGTTGGCTACACCGCGCATCCTCCGCAGCGTATTCATTCCGTAACTACGAAGCGGATCTTGCGTGCGGTAGGCATCATTTGAGAAGATGAAAGGATCATACAAGCCTCTCTGCTTGGTCAGGACATCGATAGTGTGGAGTGTATGCATGAGGATTTTGCCGACAGCTTCATCGTCGGACGCGAAATTCCACCCAAAATTAATACAGAACCCTAGCAAATTCATCAGTAAGTTGTATTTGTGGAAACCCCCAGCTTTAGGGGCTGGTGGGTGTACTTACACATTTGCTCCCGGTCCGTGACTGCAAATGGGGTCTCGCCGCTCGCATGGGAAGCTTGCATCATGGAGCGGGATATCGGTTGTGGCATGAGGACTAGGGTAGCCCCATTGATATTCGAGAGCTGCTTCGTAGCTTCCTGGGCTATCTTTGCCGCATCAAGGTAGGTGTCATTGTCAAGGTAAAAGGTCGTAGCTCCAAACGTCCATCTGCCTTTATTAGTCACTCGGTAACACCAATCCAATCATCAGCAAACAACGCACCTGGGAACAACTCTGTCAATGTCTGCAGCAATGACGCTGCTGAAAGAGTCGTGTATAGCAGTCGTATCGGCGACTATCGTGGCTCCGGTTATGTTGTAAAATGGCTCAAACGCAGCCGGGCGCTCTACAGGGTCCAAGTATATCAAGCTCACATACGCTGTAGCGTTGTTAATTGCTAGGTAGGAAAGCACAGCCGACTTTGTATCACGTTGGCCGTTTTGCTGATATGTCGCGAATGCTTGCATGAGCTCGTCACGAAAATCCCCAGTATAAACAATTGTCCCTCCCCAGACTTTGCCTAGAGGAAAGGTTTTCATGGTTATATGTGTGATGATGCCTAGTATTTCAGATGAGCGATAGCTACCAAATGAGTGATTTTTCCCTACCATAGTTGTTTGCTCCCGACTTGAGCGCATAGAAGAGATCCGGATTTGAGGTCCCCGAGACAGTGAGTAGTGTAGCATTGGCTAGCACAACCTCGAATGACACCACGTTGTCAGACCCAAAACCGTATGCATTGGAGAGATGTGAGAGTCCGCCTGTAGAGATTAGATCAAGCACCACTAACGAAGAAGGGCTGGCTTAGGGATAGGTGTTGTGCATACCTCCCAAGATGAAGCCCATTCCCACAGTGGCGGCACGCCCGCCCACTGCACTTCGGCCATAGCCTTCGAGCAACTTGTAGACTTCGTCCCAAGTGCTGCCGAAACCTACACGCACAGTTTGCGTTGCCTCATCGTAGACTTTATCGGACAAGTCGCGCATGGCAATGAGGACCCCATTGTTGACATCAGCCCAGCCTGAAAGGGGTGAATGTCCGCCGCTACGAATTGCAAAGGTTGTGTTGGTCGATCGCAAGATCTTCATAGCATCGATCACCTCATCTGTGCATTTTGGTGAAACTATACACGCCGGACTCTTCCATGCTGTTTGTGACCTAACAAGAGTGAGCTCTGCAAAAGTCAAAGTCGATGACTGAAAGTTACCAATGTGCCTTCCTCTTATTGTCGTATACAACTCCATCCGTTGAAAAAAAGGTGGCGTTGCCTGTTCGCTCTCTGAGCAATGCGCACGCTGCAGTTGGGCTTTGTTGGACCTGTCGGGGGCCTAGGTGCATGGACTGCGTACACGCCGCAAACACAAACAGCAGGATTGAGCCAATCATTGCAAGTGGAAAACGCAGAAACAACACGATGAATTTTTTTTCCTCTCTAGATATTTTAGAAGCTATATATCCTCAATGCTAAATACATTTGACTGATACTCAAATTAGCAAATGCACACCAAAGGCTAATCTCACACTTCATCGTCAATACGCGATATACTCACGAGTATCAGCCCCAGCCTTGCTTGCGTCACAAGCTAGTTGCGGAGATAGTTCCGGACTCCCCACGGTTACCGCAGGGGTCGGAATCCGTTGAATCTGCCTCGCATATCGTAAGCCACAGTTTATAATTATCCGCTCTTGATTAACGGTTAACGCCCGTGAAACGTGTCTCGGAGACCTAGAAAACTTCGACCCCAGATATGGTTCTGTGATGCCTCGGTTGGAACTGCACTTATGTGAGAGGGTCATTAATGCGTTCTAGGGGCAGTGCTCGATTTCCAACCTCAAACAACCTACATCCGAAGCCAGAATGAGTGCGTTTGGAATTTTGGGTGCTCTCACTGCCACGTACCTAATTTATTGGATTGTCCGAGCCGTGTACCGCGTTAAATTTCACCCCCTCTCACGATTTCCAGGGTCTAAGGTCGCAGCAGCATCAGCAGCCTGGTACGAATGGTACTGGAACTTCCACCAGCCAGGCCAACTCCTTTTCGAAATTGAGCGGCAACACCAAAAGTATGGGCCCATCATTCGAATTGGGCCATCAGACCTCCACATCAACGATCCGGAGGTATACCAAGATGTGACTAGGGTCGGCTCGAAATTCGTAAAGGATGCCAAGTTCTACAACTTCATCACCTTTCCGGGTTCATCGATAGGAGAGACAGACCCAGCAGCGCATCGGATTAGACGACAAGTACTGACGCCTGCATTCTCACCCCAGCGCGTGCAGGAATTGGCTCCCTTCATCAAGCAGCAAGTCGACAAATTACTGTCTCGGTTCTCGGAATTTGCAAAAACGTCAACACCAGTCGACGTTAACGCGGCATCCAAGGCCTTCACTATGGATATAATTTCGAAGATCCTGTTTGGTCAACAGGTCGGGTGTTTGGATGATCCGGAGTTCCGCAATGACTTCGTGAGGTATATCAAGGAGGCTTTCGAGATGGGTTGGACAGCCACCGCATTCCCGGAATTGACCAAATTCATGCTATCGGTGCCGGACTGGCTCTCGAAAGCTATTTTCCCAATTCCTATCATGATCTTCAAGGAGGTGAGTAGTCCATAGTGCGATATCCGGATTCACGCTAATGCAGTCGATCAAGAAATGCACAACACTCGTGCAAGGCTACCTCGAGCGCCAGAAGCACACCACATCCGTTGCAGAGCCTGAACATATGAAATCAGTAGTGATCGATATGCTTGTTGACGCCAATTCAGCCAAAGGGCATGTAGTTCCAACTCCTGACCAACTGACTGAGGAGATCATCATGCTGCTATCGGCTGGAAATGATACCACGTCGGACGCTCTGATCATTGGGATATGGCAGATATGTCGACATCCTGAGGTAGTCCGACGGCTAGAAGACGAACTGAACATGGCCTTTCCGAACGTAAGGAATACTGATGCGATTACCTACGAGAATGTCAGAAGTTTGCCGTACCTGGTAAGTGCTAGAGGTTTGACTTGCACGAAGCATCGCTAAACGGAGACCAAGAATGCAGTCATCAAAGAAATCTTGCGTATAAGCAATCCATTGCCAGGACGCTTACCACGCCTTGTTCCACAAGAAGGGTATAACTTGTACGGACAGCATGTGCCCGCAGGAGTACGTCATTCCATCGCCCCAAGTGTACTTGCTAATAGAGCAAATAGACTGCTCTCAATTTTTCAGCTCATTTGTTGAATCGACATCCCTCCGTATGGACCAATCCCAAGGACTTTGACCCTAACAGGTGGTTGGGTTCAGATACTGCATTCCTAGACAAATATCTAGCAACTTTCCAGAACGGAACACGTCAGTGTCTCGGGAAACAGTATGTCTCGGATTTTTCCATTAGAAGTGCTGCCTGGCTGACGAGTCCCGTAGACTAGCGTGGTGTGAGATGTACACGCTATTAGCAAACCTATTCCGGAGATTCGAGCTTGCAATCCACGACACGGCTGATGCGGATATGGAATGGGTGGACCTACTTTTAGTACAGTACGTGAACTTGACTCCCCGCCATTTTTTTCTCTTACTGAGGTATTCTGATTTAGCTTTAACGGAAAGCCGTTTCACCTTCTGTTGAATGAAAAGGAGAACTGATATCAACCAATTCTCCACGTGCCGCAATTGAGCGCGTGAAGTAATCCTTCTTGGGGTCCTATAATATGCATGTTCTTCAAGGGGACAATGCCCACACCACCGTTACAGGAACCATCCGAGTCCAGGAACATGACCAATGTAGTTTAGTAAAATTTGTCTACCAACTTGAGGCAATATCTAGTTTATCTTGAAGTCAGAACTATGGCTTGTATAGCGTATCTGAAGATGGCATGAGTTGCTCTCACCAGAGTTTACATAACGGGCATGATTTCAGGTCTTCTAGACAAGATATCTGAATCCCTTCATCAACTTCTGTCCTTCTTCAACACTGACACCTTCTGTCCTGGCAGTCTGTTCTGCAACATCGCCATGTACAACCCAGGCATCAACTCCATCATCAAGCCTCTTGTTCAAGCGCACCAGAATCACCTTGAAGATGAAACATCCTAGTATCGTCACTCCAAACATAGCAGTAACAACACCATAACTGTTCCTGAACCCGTTGTCCGACATATTCCAGATGTACGACCCAGCAATGTTACCGAGTTGCGAGAACGCATTGATCATGGCGATCGCGACGGCTCGCTTAGCCGGTGGACGAGGGAAGGACGAGGAGATCCAGGAGTAGAAGACAATAAAGCCGGCGTAGGAAGAAGCCTGGAGGAAAAGCGCCACGTAGCGTCCCGCAGTATTGAGCGTGCACATGGAAATAATAAACCCAACCAATCCGCCAAGAATGGGTCCCACAATGTGCCAGAATCGCTCTTGCTGACGGTCCGCATGCCATGCATTGATGATTGACACGAGGCAGGCGAACGCCCACGGAGGCGCGGACATGAGTAGTGTCGTTATGTAGCCAAACCCAAGGGTGCGCGTAAGCGTAGGGAAGAAAGCGTTGAAGGAAAGGCCAGCGACATAAGCTGTGAAAGTCAACATCATGACGTAAATCTTGATATCTTTAACGGCCATGAAGAGCCCTGCCAATGGCGACTGCTCAGCAGAGTCCTCGTCCGCTTCGCCTACGTCCTCGGTCATGCGCAGCACGGCGACGGCACGCTCTTCCTCTGTGAAACCTCGTGTGTTATGCGGAAGATCGGGCAGAATGAACGCTGCTGATATGGCTATCACCATCGTAGCAGCGCCTTCAATCCAGTAGAGCCATCTCCATGCCCGATGTCCAAGGACGCCTTCCATGTTGGAGAGTACAGCGGCTCCGACGAGCGAGGAAAAGGCGTTGGAGATGAGGTTGCCGCAGAAGAGAATGGCGTTTCGCAATGTCAGTTCGCGTCTGGTGTACCATTTTGACAAGATGAGTAGGGCTCCGGGCAGGAAGGCCGCTTCAACGAAACCGATGAAGAATCGCACTGCGACCATGCCAGCGAAGTTGCTGGTGTTCCCAGAAAGGGTGGATATCATCCCCCAGAGCAGCATGACGATAGATATGTAGAGCGACGGTCTCGGGATGCGATTGATGATAATATTCGACGGTATCTGCATCAAAATATAGCCCACTGAATTTGATTAGTCGTCCGTTTTTGTTTCATGTGTTGTTCGTGGGTGGTTAGTTACCATAGACTGTTCAACGTTAGCAATTTGTACTACTCCTTTCCCCTACAGTCTGAGTAAACGTACGAATGCTCAAACAAGTCGCATATTGCGTGTTGGTAATACCGAGATCTTCTTGTAGTCCACCGAGACGTGCGGCCGCAATATTATTTCGATCGAGATCTAAAAGTGAAATGAAGTCAGCGCATATCTCTCATGAGACTCTACCAAAGATACTGACAATTCATAATATAGATGACGACAAAGAGCGAGCATCTTGCGTCCAATTTGCGCTTCAGCGTCTTCTCGACTTGCTGTCGTCTTTCTGGGCTCAAACTGGCGGCGAGGCCCCTCGCCGGCTTCGTGTGATGCTCCACGCTCCGCGGCGCATCCTCAATAGCGATATCCTTGTAATCCGTGGAAGCCATGCTGTCGCTGTCCTCGTGCGATGGCCGTGGACATTCGCAAAAAAGTGCCAATTCAAAGTTGGGGTCCTTCTGTTATATAGCGTGACAATCGGCGATTCGACTCGAGGCGCGAACACCAACTCCATCAATCCCCGCTGCGGGCCTCCATGTTAATACAACCCTGCGGTTACATTACGCATTGATATGCATCGTTCCCTGTTTGTCTGATTTTTAAAGTCATGGGCCAAGCAACAGACCGCTCGGTCATCGACGCTACGGTTACTTCATATAGTAAACCGCCAAATGTGGGGTCGACGAGTACGGAAAAGCCGCTGCTGATCTCTCGGGAAACGTCCGGGGTTGCAAGCGACGCTTGGTGGGATGAAGAAATGTTACTGGCAGGGAGTGACAGTCGGCATTTGGGAGCCGGCTTCTGTTCGTGTTGGTCATAGGCCGCGGTTGAGGAATCTTCCGCTATGGAGGCCTTAAGTTTGAGCCGCATCTCTACATGCGACCAACGCTATCGTCCCGCCTCGAGGCGGCGGTAGAAAGTCGGGAAGGAATTCTGGCGTGTTTCCACTAACTCGCTACCCCTTGGGCCGCCCCGCGCTTGTCCCTTGTTGTGGAGCCAATATTCAACTTCCTCTGCTCACATGAGCTGCACATATAGACTTATCGTAGTCTAGTTGCAGGTAACCTGGGAAAATAATACAAGCATGGTTTGTTGCACCAACTCGACGCCCTCATTCAATCTCTATTGGGGAGTTGCAAAATCCTTCAACTCTACGAAAGCAACCCAACATCTCGCAGCTCGTGGTTTTCAGTATACTCAAAGTACACTCACAGACTAGCCATGTCTCAGCAGGACGGCCTTTAGTGCATTTAAACTATACCCAAAAACTAGCAATAACTCAACAGTCCCATAGGGTGTGAAAACGCTTCTAATCCCCCCCCTTCCTCCCAAACAATCCGAAATGCACATATTCTCACAATCAAGACCATTCTTCAACACCTCCCCAAAATCCCAACCCCTACTCAACATAAAAAACCTCCTCCGTCTGCCCCCACCACCCAGGTCCAGTCGCACTGCCCACCGCCCCTGGAACAGGACTCTCCTGCAACCCATCCGTCATTTTCCACCACTCCTGGATCTTCGGGTTCGCCGCCATGCGCGCCATGTCCTCGTCGAAACGGTTCCCTACGTACTTGAAGGATGCGAATAGAGTGGGGCGGGGGGAGAGGGAGAGAAATATCGAGTCTGTTGTTGTGAGTTGCTTGTAGCAAGTAGACGTCGTTGATGGGGAAAGAAGGGATGCGTACAGTCTCTAATGTTCGAATCTTTAATCTGCTCGAGCACCTCGGGCCACACTGCTGCATGGCACTTTTTGTATTCTTCGATGTGTTCTTCCTTTAGGTATAGCCATTGGCCGATACGGCGGGGACCTTGGTTTGTGGATGCCATTCTCTAAATGAAAACAGACAATGTACAGAGGGTGTAGGGAGGCTGGAGTGGTAGTTAAGAAGCTCAACTGCGTTTAACAGTTTTGGAGGGGTAGCTACTAGAGCTGTCAGCTTGGAATGGAGCTTCGTCGGATGACGATGTGCCGAGCTGCGGATTGTTCTAGACCGAGAGTTGTTGTGGTTGTGGGGAAACCAAGCCAGGTCAAAACTATTATTCAGGAAGAGAGCTGGGAATGATTGATACATGGAATTGATACTTAAGAATACGGAAAATATAGAAAGTACAGGATGGTATCTAAGCGCACTACCCGTGATGCCTCTTAGAAATGGCACCGTAGAAAATCCTTTCCTGAAGACAAAAATCGCTCCACGCGACATCCGGCTCCTTTTTGGTTCCCCCTAACCTAGAGCTGTCTCTGCATCTGCATAAAAAATCAAAGGTTTTCGCGCATCTCACTTCTGCGTCTTTCCGTTCATAGCGGCTCATAGTCAGCGCTCGTATCTCCAACCCAACCATACCACAGCGCAATAACAGCATTCGCTAGCACCCACACACTCGCGTACCCCGCCGCACCAATCACTTCGGTACCATTGAGCGTCATGCACCTCTGCACGGTATTCGCAAACACGAACGCGTTCAAGATGGCAGTCTGCTGAATGAGCGTACGCGTGCGCCTGGTGAAAGACCACACGTTCTTCTTGACAGTCTGCGTCAGCGTCGCGGTGGAGGGATCGAATAACTTCGTAGGCGTCGTGGTACCAGAGTGTAGTGGTTGCGCAGCGAAGGATGGGTTAAGGAGGAATTCCTTGGCTGCGAAACCCGCCGTGAAGATCTTGCCAATGATGCTGACAGGTGTTTCGATGTGCGCGAACTCCAGCGTCGGGATATCAAAGAATCGCACCAGGAACAAGTTCAAGAAGCCAGTCCTCAGACCCGCCCAGAGCACGACAATGTACACGCCCATAGCTAGCAGCGCGTTGGAGAACTGCACTTGCACGCTATTGAGAAGGAAGCGGTTGCGCAGCTTGGCGTTAGCATCGTGGGCTGCGGAGCGACGGCGCAGCAGGTACGTGGGGATGGCAATTGAAAAGACTTCGATGTTTACGTGCGCTGCGATGGTGAGGGTCGAGATGTCGTAAAAGGTGGAGAGGAGGTACGCGAAGGGCGCGTTTGAGAGAATGGTGAGCGCTGAGACGTCGTAAACTGCACTCGTTAACTACTGTGTATGCGACAGCTACTAGAAGCATGGCTTACAGTCATAGTTGAGATACCAAGTCAGCCAGATGGTGAAGACGCGCATGCCCAAGCGCGCGCCTGGCGAGTAGAGCGACCATAGATCAGCCTCATTTGGCACCTTGCTGACGGCACCAAGCTCTGGGCTGAGGAAGTTTGACACGAAGGACCATAGCGCAGTGTTGATACCCAGATTGAGGGCGACGAGGATGGGGACGCGCAGGGTGGCAGGAAGACGCGATCGCACTGGCGTGTGGGTGCGAGAGAAGACGGCCGGCTCAGAGCGGTCGATGAGCTTTGTTTGCGCCATGCCGCGAGTTATCCGTAGCAAAGAGGCTCAGAGATGGCAAGCGCAGGAAAGGAGGGTGGAGAGTGTGCGCAAAATGAGGCAGCAGATCGCGTAGTCAGTTTTGGTGTGGTTGGTGGCAGAAGCTTGGCCGCCATTTGTTGTTTTGTCGTCATTGTGCATCACCTAGCCTGCGCATACTTTGTTTGGCCCGGGCAACCGTGCACGGCCTTTGATCCATCCACTCTTCCTTGCGACGCTTTCATGATTATCAAGTTAGAACTAGAAGTATGTGTGAGAAGTGGAGACTTTTCGTGTTGCTATTCGGTACATCTATAGTCGTTCGTCCGTAAACCCAAATCCATCCATCATCCGCTTTGTGTGCACCGACCACCGTCATAACCAACCTTCGTCCCTAGTCTATGTGGTCGAGTGGAAGATGCTGGTGTTAAGACTATAACAACTGCAGCGAACCAAGCCAAACTCCGCCGTGGCACGCAGTGCCCAAAACCGAGTCCATGTCAAACACAAAACATCAATGTGATACTGAGATATGCTACGCAAGAAGCTGAAGAAATCGTGAAAAAGTCGCAGGCGGTATAGTACAGATGATCAAGCGGCCGTGGCAAAGATCCGGGAAGTCATACTTTTAGAGAATGTAAGCGGAATTCGTAGAACCGTGTAGGCGTGGGTGCCCAAGTGAGGTCAGCTAAGCATTCTGAGTCCTCTTCTTGGGGTTTGCCTGTGTCCTCTTCTTGCTAGGTGTCTTGGATGCGTCGCCCTCGATGTACTTGAGCAGGTCCTCGATTTTACGCTGGTCCATGCCACTTCGCTGCTGACCAGCAGCCGCAGCCGCCTCGCTGACCGAAGGAGTGGCAGCAGCCGGACGCAGCGGGTTCCTACCAGTCAGTTGGATGCGGCGAATGCGGCCCTTGGCAAGGTCATTGAGCTGTTTAGCCTGAGAGACGGCGCTCTGTGTGAGCTGTTCGAGCCAGCTCTCAGCCTCCTTGGTATTACGATCCTCTGCACCAAGAACATCCTTGAAGATGTTATAGGATTCGCGCATACGGTTGACGGCACCGCGCATGTCCTTGTCGAGGGCTAGAGCCTGGGCGGTCTGGAAGAGTAGGGTAGCCGTGTTGATCGAGGTCTTGCCAGACACTTCTTCGCAGATTGCAAGAGATGCCTCGAACCAAATGCGCGACTCGTGGTACTGCTTCACGGCCTGAAGCATGACCGCAGCATTGTTCAAAGTGGTGATTGAGTCGGGGTGATCAGCGCCATAGATGATCTTCCACAGTTCAAGTGCGTGCCGCACGTACACAAGAGCACCTTTAGTGTTACCCGAAGCGTGCTCGAACAGAGCCAGATTCAGGTACGCCAGTACAGTGTCGGCGTGGTCGACGCCAAGGGTGCGCTCCGAGACAATGACAGCCTTGTGTGCAAGCTCAAGGGCCGAAGCCTTATCCTCCAAGTTGAAGAGCAGGTTAGACAGGGTGTGGTAAGCCCGAGCGACTTCATGATGCAGGACACCATAGATTTGCTCATGCAGCTGGAGGGACTCAAGGAGCAAGTCCTGGCCCAGCTCCTTCTGGTCTTGAGCAACGGACATACGACCAGCCTCAAGCGCCTCTTCGGCCAATGAGCTCTTAGGTGAAGCCTCCTTGATAACAGGGACAACGTTTAGCACATCATCTGCGTGGAAAGTTTGCAGAGGAAGGTTAACAGCTGGACTAGCGGCACGTGCCGGGGAAGGGATCTTGTTCTTCTTCTTCCTGTTCGACGTAGAATGGCCGTTCGTCTGCGGTGCAGCAGGCGTCTCCGCAACGGCACCGTTGGTAAGACTATCCTTGGTAAAGGCATACTGCTTGCTCACCAGCTGCAGACCTAGCTTCAGGGAAACCTCTCGCAGCAGCTGCAACTGCTTGCCAGACTCGAACCATGACTCGCCTAGGTCATAACGGTAGCGAAGAGCAATCTGGGCTAAGATCTCCTTCTTCAAAGACTCAGGCGTGAGCTTTTCGAAGCTGAAGTCGGTTTCCGGATACATGGCCTTCAAACTGCTGTCACATTCTGCTACAGGCTTGGTGCTCACCTCGGCGCCCAACAGACAGTTGAGAAGGTGCGCAACACAAGGGGCAGCGAATGGAGCTGCGACGTTGCGCAGCTTAGAGTTGGCAAAGTGCTTGAAACCACGTGCGATCATCTCCTGGATGACTAGGCGCTTCAGAGCCTGCAGACGCGGATCGGGCTTGTCGGCAAGCTCGGCGATCTTGCCAAGATATCGGATATTGACACCACGCTTGTGCAGGAGGGTGCTCAGAGACTGGCCATCCATTGGGAAGCCGACTTCGCCGTCCTTGAGTTCCTGGATCATCCGTGGGATAACTTCCGACAGAAGGTGGTCGCAGGCAGCGCGGACTTCAGCCTCGTCCTGGGCCCATTCCTTCTTGTCTTCGTCTGATTGCGGGTTCTGACCGGAGAAAACATCGGGGTTGAGTGCGAAGGAGAAGCCTGAAATATCAACACGGTCCTGCTCAGTGGCATCGGCATCGTCCTTCTTCTCGACGTCATCAGTCTTCTCGACATCGCCCTTCTTTTCCGACTTGGCGACCTTCTTTGATTTGGGCTTCTTTTCCGCATCCGAATCTTCCTCTGAATCATCTGAATCCGACTCCGACTCGTCCGAGTCCTCTTCCTCTGACGAGCTCTCCTCATCCTTGGCCTCCTTCTTCACGGGGCTTTCAGCTTTCTTTGTCTTCTTCGCCAACTCGTTCTTGACGTATTCGCGCAACTGCAGCCTGCCATACGACTCCACGAGCTCTGGGCGAAGAGTTGCCATTCGATGCGGGTAGTCCTTGTCCTTTGGCTTCGACTCACCCTCCTTGCTAGGCTCACTCCAGTACGCCTCTATCCATGAAACGTCCAGTGGCGTTAGGCGGTAGAGATCGAGAGCGTATCGCCTGCCGTCTGTACCAATGAGACCCTTGGTTTCGACGCTGCCCTCCAGTTCGTGTCGAACATTGTCCTTATCCCATACAGGGTGCTTCTTGACGCGTAGTGCCTTTGAAAGCTGCTCAAACAGGGGAATGAAAGACTTGTCGTCTGCAACAATTTCCTTGCCCTCTACCGCACCATAGTCGATCTGGTGCTCTCCGGGGTCGCGCTGTTTGAAGATACCGGGAACTATGCTCTGGCCAACAATGCGCTTTCCAAGGTAATCTACAACGACAGTTCCCGAAGTGAAGAGGTTTTGGATGTCCAGGTTGTTCACGGCGCGAACTCCGAAGACATCCTTGCCCACAGCTACGCGAGCCGCCTCATCACCACCCTCTGTACCAAAAGTGCCAACCCCGTCGGCGCCGAAGGAGTAGAAGATGTTGTTGTAGACGAAAATCTGGGCGTCTTTCGCCTCTGTTGGGTTCAAGGGGGCGATCTCTCCTCGTGCTACCAACATGGCACCGCGGGTCGCCGCATCGTTGTAATCTGCAAACAGCTTCGAAGTCAGGCGCTCACGGAACACGCGGTCATGGACAGCCTCCTTTGGCATCTCCCGAGTCGACTGAAATTCTTCGTTCCAATCGCGGAGAGTCTCGGTGTTCTCAACACCCGAGATCAGGTAGCTCTCCTGTGTCCGCGCAAGATCTGGCTGATGTGGGGTGAGCGAGGAAGTCGGTGCAGGTACCAACCAAGGGTTCGCTGGAATGGCATTCGAGAGCTGGAAAATGGTGAGAAGCTCCTTCTTCGCGTTGTGCTCGAGCAGCTGCTGGAACGACGAGCTGAAGGAAGGCGACAGCTCTTCGAGAAGAGTAAGCAATGAATGCGCCTGTTTCGCCTTGGGTGCCTGTCGGGGCAGCGGGTCAAAGCTGGCATTGGAGGACTTGTTGACGTAGAAGCCGGAAACGTGAGCTGTGATGTGATGCTGCTCGTTCTCGTTGGTCGTGACGACCAGGTACAGAAGGTGGCCCTTGGAGCGCAGATGGTATGGCGGGGGATTCCAGGGTGAGACGGCGATAGACTTGATCGTCTTGGGTGCGGGGTCCTGCGGCGGGGGCAGCAGGTCCTTGACAGCTCCTGTGGATTTGAAGTCATAGTCTGCCAGTGGGGATTGCTCGGGGCCGTCCTCCTTGGGCTTCCCTGCCTGATCCAGTCCGACCGTGTCGTGCAGCGACAAACCCGCCATGATGCCATGCAGCGCATCCGTGCGGTCGCCAGCGGCGCCAATGAGCTCTCGTACGCGGATAACATGTAACCTGGCCTCCTTCTCCGTGTAGGGGTCCTCGACCACGGTCAAGATCGAGTCGGCCTTCAAGCCCGACACCTCGGACAGCTCGACGTAATCGTTGATGCGCTCGCCCTCGTGCTCGAGATGGAAGCAGGAGTACTGGAAGGTGTGGGGCATCTCGATGATGGACTGGCGGAGATCCTGCACCTGCTCGGCCGTCGAGATCTAGTAGTTATGAGCTTTGGAAAGTTCGAACTTGAAATGGTCGAACGCACCGTCATCTGCATCTCGAAGGGCTCATGAGGAAGCTTTATGGTGACCTGGAAGATGCCTGTCTGCTGTTAGATGCACCCTCGAACTGTTCCTCGGATGCAATGGCACATACTGGCTGGCTGCGGGCCATTGGCACCATCCTCGTCGACGGCCTCGACCTGCCCGTCTGCATTCTGCTCTTTGCTGGGCGCCTGTGCCACATCTGTTGCGCCATTGAGGTTAGCCATGGGCTGCGGTATAGTTTGGTTAGGTGGCGAATGGGGTTCCATGACATATCGAGGTGTCGTGTGTGGGTGTGGAGGGCTCACCAGACTTGGAAGCGTCATTGCTAGCGGCCATGATTCGATTTGAGGGGAAAACCCTACAACTCCAGCAAAGAACAGGTGCACAAGGAAGGAACGGGTGTAGCGGAGGAAGATAATATACAAGAAAGGCGCATTAATGTACAATAATGGGCGGTATGGAATGTGGATGGGGGAAAAAGGGATCTCCGCAGTCATGACACCAAAACTTTTTTGCGGCGCCGGGATGAACCGCTAAAAGCCTCGCTCGCACTTCCGAGCCCTCCAGGGTCGCTCGGAACGAACGGCCCCCGCGGCGGGCATTCGGCTGAGCGCCTGTGCCCCATGCATGCTGGGTTCTGAGAGAGTAAGCCTCGTGCTTCTTGGACATTCACAGTGTGTGTTGAAAGACGTTGTAGGACCTTGTCGTACACACACCGTGGTTGAGTCGTCTGTCTACCCGCAACATGTTACTGCCATGGCCCACTTCCCTTGGCCCTCAACGCACTGGCCACGAGCCTGAGAAATAACCTCAACAGCCTCATAACAGCCCGCATTATTCCCTTCCGCGCATCTCCGTCTATCGTCTCCATCTCCAGTGTCTTCTCTTTTGGTCCATTTCTGTCCCTCCTTTGGTTGTCTTTCTTTCAAATTAGTCCATTGATCGTCTACACCGCGCTTCCGCTTGACTCGCGTGCGCAACCCCCTCACGCGAGTCTGGCACCGCGACACTGATAATGGTAATGCTACGGCTCGTTCTGAGGACTCAAATCGCGCGCTCCCTTGTCCCATCTCAGCGTCAGCACACGCAGCCCTTCTTGCATCGCTTTCAGCCATGGAAGCTTCCATTTGCTCGCGCTCTGAGTGGCCAGTCTGGGCCTCCTACCCCTGGCAATGATGCGCCAAATCCAATCGACGACGCCACGGAGCATGTGCATCAGGAAGAAGAGCGCGAGGCAAAGCGCGCAGCATGGAGAAGTACGGGCTGGAAAATGTTCGAGGCTGCAGCAACGACGGGCGCCAGCATCTTCATCCTTGGCTGTGTAGGCATTGGCTACACCAAGTACTACAAGTGGAATGTGCTCGAGAAGATGGAGAACGCCTTTAGGGAAGGCGACCCGGTTCTTGAACTTGCCGCTTCTGGAAAGGAAGTACCCAGAGAGCCCACGCGAACCGAGGTCAGCAAAGGGGGAGACGATGATCGAGACTACGATCGATGGATCCCACGTGACGAACAGGAGAAGATTGACAAGATTGTCTGGGGCGAGACCAAGGGACGCTACCATCTCCTGCTCGGCGAAAAGGGCACCGGGAAGACATCCATGCTGATTGACGCAATGGACAAGATCAACGGCGAAGGATGCTCTATGATGGAAGCCCATGCAGACCTAGAAGTTTTCCGCGTCCGGCTAGGGCGATGTCTGGACTTTGAATACCACGAAGACAACATTGGCTCGCTCTTTTCGATACGTGGACCTCGCGATGCCGGTGCTATCCTCGATATCGAGCGGGCATTCAACAAGTTGGAAAAAGTGGCTTTGAGACGGCGAGCGACGGTTGGCAAGCCGCTGATTCTCATCATCAACTCGGCGCATCTGATCCGTGACGACGATGATGGCCGGGACCTGCTCGAGCTGATCCAGCAGCGCGCAGAACAATGGGCCGCCTCGAACCTCGCGACCATCATCATCAACTCAGACAAATACTGGGTCTTCGAACGATTGAAGCAGTATGCGACCCGAATGGAGGTCCACCAGATCAGAGACTTGTGTAAGGACCGTGCGATGCAGGCCCTCAGAAACTACCGTATGAAATACTACGGCGAAAAGACTGAAAATTCGGTGCTGGAAGAGGTATACGACAAGATAGGAGGCCGTCTTACTTTTCTCAACCGAGTCGCCAAGTCCGAGGACATGGTCACAAAGTGCGATCACATCTGCGACCTGGAGAAGATATGGTTTTTGAACAACTGCGCCATTCTTGGCGAGGAGATGGATGACGATGTCATGGACCAGCAGAAGTATGCTGTACGTACTCCACACCTGAATATGTCCTAGTGGGCCTGCTTACTAATGCCACACAGTCGACAGCAATGGTTCTTGCGAATGCTCTCTTCAAACAGTACCGTGACATGGACCTAAAATACGACCCAGAAAAGGGCCATATTCTCCCTGAAATCCCTCTCCATCGCGCCCGCTTCATCATGACGCGCTCCGATTTCATCCGCAAGCACCACGACCTCTCCATCTTCTCCATTGACTCGCATGCCATGGTGCGCGCCGACTCTGTCCCGATGCAGCGCGCCTTCAACGAGATATGTGCCGAGGAAGGATTCGAAGAGTTCTTGGAAGCTACCCTAGAGCGCATCAGCGATATCGAGTCCCTTGGTCGCACCAAGGAGCTCACGTTCAAGGACCTGTGGGCTGGCGGAAAGTACAAGTTCACGACGAGGAACAAAAAGGGGCAGGTGGAGGGCGAGTTGGAGATGGAAGTTGTGGAGGGAGAGAAGGATGAGGATGACAAGGATGAGAAATGAGGGAGAGAGACTTTTGTACGATAACGACTGCGCGAGATGCGCGTATTCTGCTGACGGGGTGGTATTATGCGTCGACGATGGGTGTGGAGAGGTTTGGTCTTTTATGTTTTCCTGGGTGGTTCTCCTGGCGCCTCATGGAAGGTAGAGATACCCTTCTTACTGTCTTGCGTATTTCCTTTGTCCGTTTAGGTTTTTGTTGTTGTCATCGCTGCACTGTTCATGTATGCCCGCGATGCCATCCTCTATGTGTATAGTAACCGGCTGTGAATAAAGGAACTACATGTCCTCTACATATCCATATACCAGTTCCAAAAAGAGTACTTGCCGCAGCATGATCATACCTCTCGTGATTCACCCACCGTCTGCATCTCATCTCAACTGCGAATGTTCCGTTTCCAGCCTATCAGTCATGCATCTATCAATAAACCAAGAACCTAAATACGACACTTCTATAATACATCAAAGTCCTCCACACATTCCCAACCACCCACAACGCAACAGCTAAAAAGCCACTGAAACCAGCCAGGCCTATGTATTCCCCATTATAACTACACACTTCAAAAGCCGCGTGCATTCTACGTACATGAGTCTGGAATTTTATTTTATTTTTTAAGGAAAAACTATTCATATAAAACGTAAAAGAAAAGGGATGCTCATCTACATTAATTCTGCCAACTACATCTAGCAGGATACTACGAGCTGCCCCGATCCTATGCTTGAGCTACTTGCACTGCCTATCAATACAACATACAGAAACAGCTAGATGACGAAATCTACCTACCTTGATAGTTACCTACTTTATTTCTACGTAGCGTAGGACATTTTCTTGAATCAAGTTAAAGAATTGACAACGCGTTGAAGGGACATGCTGAGCTACAGTATACTAAATCGCTAATAAGAAGGTAGGATACGGCTTTTCACGTCACGTAGTTTGAAGGCTCCTCAGTTCAGCGCTGACTGACGGTGATTATGAAGTCAGTGGCATTACGTCTTTTTCTCCCTTGGACAAAGTCCGCATGTCTATCTCGTACGTCAAGCGGCTCCTATTAGATGCAGTAGATCATTAGAATTGCATTCACATCTGACCAGTGATTGGAGATTCAAGGGGGTAACGCAGAGATGTACAGTCACAAATGCACCAAGGACGAGTGTGGTCATAAAGTAATAGTAGTGTGTAAGCTTTCATATCAGCGAGGCGAAATCTCACCCTCGCAACCCATGCTCGCAAACAACCAGTCTACCCACCATGCGTGAGAAATTCACAGTTCACTAATCACCCAACGTCCATGATAGATGCCAGCATATTACTACAGTCATTATAGTCATGCGTGAGCCAACTCGTCAGAAAAATCTGTACTCAGCATGCACCACATTCTCCTTCAAGCCAACGTTGCTCACAAGGATGACGTGCGAACGCTCCACGTCGTCTGCAAACGATATCCCGTCGAGCTGACTGTGCTCTAATCTGACCTCACCACACTCACCCACCCACTCCCGACGAGCAGGTAACGGGAGGGAAAAGGCTCTCCACAGGGAACGGTCCGTTCTCCAAGGGGTGGTATGACACGAATCTGCCGTGAGATGATCAAATCCATGACTGCTGAGAGTGGAAAGATTCCCTAGTCAATTGATTCGAGGGTGAACACACGGCATGCATGGCATGCAACGTTGCAGTAAAGCAAGTAAATCCGAGGGGCGTGGACGTACGGCAGTTGGAAGTATTGGTACTGCGTGGCGGTCTGTTTTTAGGACCTACGCGTTACGATTTCGAAAAACCCAACACCCCGGGGACGAAAAAATAATGTAAGGCGTACAGAATGCGGGAGTTGTGACGAGATTGGCGCGCGCAGGCTGCAAGCGAGAGGGTGTCGTCGTATACGGGGGATTCGGACTGTCACCGATGACACCTAATTAGGCTTGCAGTTGTTGACATGCAAGAAGACAAGTCATGGAGTCGCGATATTGGGATGATAGGCTACTAGCGCACAACTCCTATTCTCGCACTACGGAAATCGAGGCCTGAACTCGAGGCTAGCGCTATGTGAGGGTGTGGCTGGCGCATAAAGTTTGGAGCGGCACTGCTCGAAACCTTGACATGCAGCCAGCGTATCGATAGCACCTACCGGTATCGATTGTCAGCCAGCGCCCCAAAGCATGCAGCTTGTAGACGACGCCGCTGTATCTCGTAGGACAGAGGGTACGCAAGGCACATATTGGAAAGCGTGGCGTTCTCAGCAACGGCAACTCGTTTGGGCTCAGTTGCTTTCCCTTTTCGTGAGAGCTGCGAATGTTTCCACTCCTTTTGGTATTAACTTTGGTATGTGAGGCTACCGAGGCAGTGGGCGTTCTGAGACGGGTAGCTACAGGCCCCGCAAGCCGAGAAACTGGGGTTCGATGGTCTACCATCAGCCTTTGCGGATACCAAACATGTTGGGCAACGAGGTGATGCAGGAAGCCTTAGTCGGCGACATGCAGAACCGTGGACCGGCGTACAGCAGCAGCGGGGATGCGGAAGGATGCGCAAACGAGCCTGTTACCGGGAACGAAGAAAATTGCTTCTCGCATGACACGCGATCGATTTGGTGACAGCTGTTCGGGACTGCGATGCGATGGCGCCGAGGAACACATGTAGGAATCTGAGTTTGGGGAACATGTGAGAATTTGAGTTTGGGAAACATGTCAGTATGTCAGCCCCGCTGGAGTTGGGCGCTGGACAAGAGCTGATCGTCAGGGACAAGCCGGAGTTGCGTGCGAGGTCAAAGTCCCCCTGCTGATCGCATTTTACGACGTCACAGCGGACCGCGTACAAATGCCAGATGCAGCAGGATCGCTTGTCGATGAAGTTGCATGACGTTGGAATTGCTGGAAGCCGCCCTGGTTCGCGAGTATGTAGTGTGCTACTCGGAGCATATGGAGCAAGGCGAGGGTGAAACGTTGCAACATGCGGCAACATTCACAAGCCTGATTGCCTAATGGAGACGCTGCCAAGTGCCCCAGTCGGCCCTGTCAAGTCATGTTGATGGCGGGTACGAAGAGGGCGAGGGTGATTGAAACTCTCTCTCCTTTCTAATCAGTCTAATCAGAGGGTAGCGTTGGACATGACTATTCTGATTTGACTCGGAGCCATGTCCGCTGGGGAGCCTCGACGGCGCGGCTGACGGCTTCTTTCCAGCCAGCAGGCGGCGCTCCACAGAAGCGCACTGGAATCCACGTGTCGGCAGGGTTGCCTCTGTCGACGATGATCCTTTTCGAGAAGAGGACACCCCTGCCTTCGCTTCCATGGGGATGGACAGCCGCTGTAGATTGCAGTAGCGCGCGCCCAGTCGAAGGTCCACGAAAACGGTGGCCAGATATCCACACTGTCCCGACTCCCCGCAAGCCCAAATTCACGATTGTAATTTCAAAATTCTTTTCTATGGAGACTGCCGTCGAGCACTGCCAAGTTGGGGCGCAGGGTGGAAATAACGGTCGCAGACGACAGCGATGCTGCTGGTAAAAGTCTAAAAACCTGCTGTTGCTGTGCGGCGCGCCTGGAGGATGTATTAGTGTCAGAGTCGTATTTCCGAGTCGAGATTCTCCGTGCCGTCTCGGGCTGCCAGACTCGGGCCGTGTGCGAAGCGGAATAGAATGTCAACCCGGGCTGACCGGATAGTAGTTAGTAGTAGTGGTAGTCAGTCTAGATACTGTAGTTTCAACGTAGACTAGAATCCCCAGACGAGGATGCATGGAACCAAATGGATCCTCTCACGTTTCTCAGCCACTTTTTCAGTATGCGAGTATGCAAACCCCAAGCTGGCTGGCCGTGACATGCGGTGGTCAGCCGAGCGAACAAGCAAGTCGCGTGGCCTGCGGCTCGTTTGTCGGCTGCTTTGCAGAGGCTGGCTAGTAGATAACGATGGGATGCCTGCGCAGGATACTTGTCTTAGTGCGAGTTGATCCTCTGTTAATGTCTATTCTATTCGGCAAGGGATGGATTTAAGCGGCAAGGGCTGCATTTGGCGAATCAGCATTACAGACTAGGTGCGAATTATGTCATTGGCAGTGGCATTCTGGCAGAAATGTGAAGGCCCAAACAACCTGGCTGGCCATTTGGGACATGTCTTGAAGAAGGGAAGCCTGACATGGGTGGCCTTCCGTGCCAAAATCAATTTTGACGCATGCTCGACACGACGCGCACCACCCAGGGCGAGCGAGCGAGCGACAGTCGACGTGGATGACGCAGAGACGTGTAGAAAATTCGACAGAGCACAGTGCATTGTGCGTGAAACCAGGCCAGGTGCAGATCCCAGTAGGTGCAGCATAGCATCCGTGTGCTTGGGCCGGAAGGCTGCAGCGATCTGATCGCAATGCCACTGCTGCGACATGTTTGAAGAGGGCAAAAAAAGAGGCCATTCTCGCACGAGCGGCGCGGTGGGCAAGACGAGACACTGTCTCAGACGGGGCGGCCCTGGATGGCTGGAACGGCGTTGCATCAGTTATTTAGCATAGAAGAGAAAGAATAGAATAGACTGCGGGTGACATGCGACGGAGCCAATGGGCCAGCTTCCATCTGGTTTCCAGAAGACATGCTACTGGGCATAATAGCCAGGCGAGATTCTGGTGGCGCCGAAGGGCTCCACTCCCCGAGCCGGGGCAACGCTCTGATAGGGACGTCGGGGCAGCAGCTGGTCGTGGACGCCTACTGCAGCGCGCTGCCCTTGGTCAAGTGGCGGGTGTACCGTGTTGCCCGGGGAGGAGGATGATTGTGAGTGATTATTATTATTATTATCATTATCAGTATCCGTCTCGACTCGTCGCTGCTCTTTGGGCGCGGAGGAGACGCGTCCAACCAGGAAGGGCAGGCAGCAGGCACGGCACAGCATAGCACATCACATGACGGCACAGCACAAAAGCAAAAGGGATGTAAGAGGCATGTCAGAGGGATATAAGAGGGATAGTTTGATTGATTTGATGCGCGCGGCATCGAATGCGGATGGGAGGCGCTGTGATGATGATGATGATGGAATGGTGGAATGGCCTGTCAAGGCTCCCAGCAACCTGGGCAACGGATGGATGGGCTGCGGTGCAGGACGTGTGTGTTGATTCAGCAGAGGCATGTCCGTATGTGGGTCCTCCTCCTGGCCGCGTCGGGGAAGGAGTGCCGCTGCCCTGTGAGGCGCCTTCTAACCTTCTGGCGTTGCTTCTGGCGCGGAGAGTCAGCCAACAGACGCGGCACAGCGAGTCAATACCAATGCCGTCAAGCAGCAGAAGGTTGCGCGCGCTGACGCTGTCTCATCAGCTCAGCTGTCTGTCTCATGCCTGTCCTGTCTTCAGGCGATGGATGGGTGTCGAGTGTTGAGTGTCGACTGGTGAGTGCTGACTGTCGAGTGTTGCAAGTGAGCGGGCTAGAGAAGGGCATCTTCACCTCTGTCGCGTCTGGACGACACAAGACATACGAGTCTATACGTCTCCTACGACAGCGCGCGACACGACCGCAACAGCGACAGCCGTTTGGCCCTGTGCTAGCGCTGCAGGTACGGCTCTCTAGCGCCTCCACCGCGGCAGGGGATAACCTCTCTCGTGGATTCAGCTGCGCACATCACCCTGGCTCCCTGTCTGCGGCCGCACACAATTTCTGCCAGAAGGGGGCCCGGTTTGGGCGACAGGGAGCCAAAAGTTGAAACACCCCCGAAAGGAAAGGCCCTTCTGCTCCCGGCACGTCATGTAGTCTGCGCTCTGCTTCCTGAAAAGCACAGTCGCTCATTTCATTTGTCTCGTCGGCAGCCAAGGCCACTTTGGCAAGTCAGTACAGGCCCCCTTATTCTAGTCGGCAATATAGAAGGCCCAGCGCGCCCTCTGGAAACTTATCATTTTCATCTTCACTCCCTTCGGCTTCTTCATTCATTCCGCTCATCCAAAAGCCCACCCGAACACGACACCATCTAATCCACCTCGACACACTACGCCGCTGCCGCTCATTGTACCGCCTACCAACACCACCACCACCACCACCACCACACTCGTTCTCGCACCAGTTAACCTCGGCCCTCTCTATACGGGTCCATCACACATCGGCCGCTGACGCCTCACATACCGCCCACCATTCATTTGTAAGTCCAACCCGCGCCCTCGGCGCTGGCTATATTTGGCATGGCTGTGGAACCGCTTGCTGACTATAAAGCAGACCACAACCTACCTTCAACAACACAATGATACTCAGAGAGCCCGAATCCAACAACATGGGACGCGGTGCCTACGACACAACTGGCACGCCAAAGCCTCCACCGCCCCCGCCAAAGTAATCTACCGCACCACCGCATCTCATCCGACCACCATGGCCTTTTCGCTATCTGCCTTCCACTGCCGCTTTTTTGCAGCGCAGTCTGGCACAGTGCGACAATTTGTCTGGTGTTCGGCTGGGAGCAGAGGGATGACATCCCGCGCGTCGTAAGTGACAGATTACACCCTTACCTTGCATGAACACCCTGACTAACCAATATATGACTGCAGCCCTACGCACCTCTCTCACCACACCCTCCGCTACCACTCGTACAGCCGAGCTCGTTTACTGGCGCACCTCCACCCACCACCACAATCGTTGTTCAGGATTACACCCTTTTAATAATCGGCGACCAATTCGTTTCGTCCCGGAGCCTAATACCCCATTCGTTTACCGGTTCCCGTCCTGCGTTATCGAGCGACTCTCAACCAACCCTGTATCCATCCCCCTTGCGTCCCACGTTCAGCGACATCATTTCCTTACGGCAAAAGTTCTTTTTCATCGGCGTTTTATAGACTAGGGTGGGCTCAGACATGGATACCAAAAACGGACTTTTCTTTTTTCTTTCGGACAGCAATATATCTGGGTAGATTTCCATTGTCTGCCTTCGCTGGCACACCAAGACATGGATTATTTTGTACTATAGCTCGCCGGGCTGGGTTGAACCCACCAGGTTCACGACCACCACTCGACGATTTTTGCATTCGTTACATGGCCATCTATGAACGGGCATGCATGGGCCGCCATTTCTCTGGCTTTTGGAGTAGACAGACAGAGTGCCTGGGCCTCGCTATGGGTGTCTCGCGACACGCCTGATGGTATAGACTTAATTGCAATTGACAACTTTACATTCTCACAACATGATCCATGATTCTCCACGTCCATTTCTTCAATGCGACCTGTGACCTGTCTTATCCTGTCCGCCGGGTGCCCTTGGTGTCACACTTGTGGCGTCGCGGATGTCCATCTCGGGAAGATCGATATGTCGTGGGCGTCTAGATGCTGGCATCGATCTGTTTCGAGCGGCGCTGAATGCCGACCCTGGCTTGTACTACAAGTGAAGGTTCCGTCAGACGTTGCCCGGCACTGCGTTTGGAAGCCGCGAAGCTTGGCAGAGTGGAGACAAGGCACCTGCGACGTGCCTACCCTCACCACAGCTCAGGTGCCGACCTCGACGCCCTTCACAGCCACCAGTGCCACCACCACCACTATCGACTTCTCATTCTGCTTCAGCTTCCACACGTCCATCGTGCACAGCTCCCACCATGGCCAACATAAATTGGCGGACGATAAACATCGACGCCTTGGATCCTGACAGCCCCGCCAACTTCGACCTTAGCTCCCTCACCCCCGCCGTCGCGCCCGTGTCCACCAGCGATGTCCAGAACATTTCCCAGCAAATACGGCAGCTTCTAAGAGGGGGCGAGAATGAGGGTGCTCTGCAGGGCGCGCTGGAGAACCCGCCCTATGGGGCTGACGAGAAGGGCAAGGTACGTTGCCGTTATGCTACCCCCCCAACAAGCACCTGTTCAGGTACCATTGCTTCCTCCGCCCACGGCAATGGGACGGCATCATCGAATGTCTCTCCGCATTCGGGCTTCTCGTGGTCACAATCGCGACCGTGACTCCGGACTCGGGCTACCGACAACCCGGACGAGCTGTCGCTCCATCACACAGTCACATAGGAAGGGATATCAGGCTGACTTGTCTCACCGCTATATAGGAGATCCACCTTGCGACCGTAATCGAAATCCTACAGTCTATACGGCAGTCAGACATGTCACCAATACTCAGCCGGATATACAGTGCGCAAGGTGGAACAGAGGCATTGGACGTACTGATGAAGTATATGTACGTCCAGTTCCCAATTGGGTCTCTCTAGCCCTCACACAGCTTGACCGCCTTCCACCAATGTCTCTCGGCAATTGCACCTGCCTTCTGTCCTATTGGCCCTTCCACACTCGTATATTGAGCGCGTTTGGCTAACCGTCGTAATCATACAGCTACAAAGGCATGGCACAGGCGTCACCAGCAAACAACACGCGCAACATCACGCCCCAGGCCACCGGCTTCTCACAGGTTCATACTCGCGGAGGAGGAGAAGGCGGCGGCCAGGCCATGAGTGTGTTGCTCAGCTGGCATGAAAAGGTACGACCCCACGCTCCTTCCGTCATGACGACTCGGTACTCTTCTCAACCCAATTGACCCCCACGACTCACCCTCCCTCGTCGATCCTACTAACACAACGACAGCTTGTTGAGATAGCTGGCCCGGGTTCCATCGTCAGGGTCATGACAGATCGTCGTACGGTTTGAGTAAGTGGTTGCAATTGCGGCCACCCGGATCGCATCCGAATAAGCAGGTCGCTAGCTCATAGCGAAACTAGCAGCCACGTACAATGAGGCGACGCTATCCAAAAGCAAATTTACCAATGACACACAATCCGCATGGCTCTTCGCTTTCCTACCTCTTTATTAGCTCCAACTTACCGGTGAGGGTTTAGCACCAGTCGACTCTGACTCAGGCCTCGACACGGAGTAATAGAACACACGAACATGATTATGAGCCTCGACAATTTTTCCATTGCTCCAATCCATGTCCCTGCCTTTTTCCAGAATCCCGTACTAGCGTCCCCCTATTTACCAGGCCGCTAGAAACCTCGTTCAGCCTTATAGCGATTCCCTCGGCGACCATCCCAATTTCCCATGCACCCACCTTCTCGCGGACGCGGACCCGGAATTTCCGCAGCGCTGGCAAGCATTGCGCTAACATCGCCCTGCTAAAGCAGCGACCCCATGCTCCCCGGCATAGCTTCCACGCGACTCCTTAGCGCGCGCCAAGTCCCCTGTCCCCAGCGGGAGAGGAAACTCCATCCTGTTTTGACCGCTTAGTCCCAGAACGGGCAGCGTGAAAAGACCAAACAATGCCTGATCTTCGGAAGATGACATCAAACATGCCAGGTGAAGTGAAACAGCGGGCACTCTGCGACAAATGCTGTCGCCTTTTTTTGCCCTTGTCATTGTTACAGGCTAAATGCATCCATCCATGCTGTTGATTCTTAAGAGGTATGTTTTATTGTATACGGCAAGGAATGGCTTGTCGGCATTGTTTCTTGGTCAATGTTCGAAAGCGCGTCTGGAAAAGATGTCATTCATGCGTAGGGCTCTGGTGGTGTTTGAAGAGTTGGGCGCCATTGTCCTGTGCTGCGATGATCCCTCCACTACTAAATGACAAATAACTACATAAACTTTTTCGCAAGATCTAACTTTTCGCAGGATCTCTATGTAATAAGGAAGGCGTGAAATAAAGTTTATTGCCATGATATCCCCGTCAGATCGAAACAATTTACCCGCAGTATGGCCGAGGTTGATGAAATCAGAGTGCACGATGCTGTAGTTGGGCTCCTCACTCACATGACCTCCATGCAATGCAGTGCCATCAAGGCGCGAAGCATTGATCCTCTTCGTCCGAGGACCGTCCCAACGGAATGCCAAACGTGGGGATGGCTTTGCATGCACGGTCACATTCCCACGCGGACATTCGTATCTGCAGCTTGGCTTCCTGCTCCGCTTGAGCGTCTAATTCCGTTACTTAGTCGTAGGCTGGTAGAAGAGCGTTTTCTTGCTCGAGGTAGGTAAAGCCAGACTCTCTTTCCTCTGAAGGTAGGTTTTGTCTTACCATCACATGCGAGACTGAGACAGACACCTTACACGCCGCCATCAAGATTTCCCTGCAAGAAAGAAAGTGAGATTCAAAACGTCGTTACTTTTTCTTTTTACAACCCCTTGATCCTTCTCTGCTTATTCACTCAGTATCTATTTACCTACTTGGTCGCTCTTGGCACCAGACTACCCACGTGGGGGGCGGGATTTGTCTGTGGGGTGCCATCTTGCTACTGTGCCGCACGGGAGGGATATTAGAGGGCCCCCCACGCGTGGGGAGAGACACCGTGATAGTTGGTAGGTTGTCTACTTGACGCGGACGTGTCTAGAGTGGTGGTGTGTCATGTCTTTGCAGACGAGGGAAGAATCTGGGAGAATTTCGTACATTCTTCTCACGCAGTGTCTGGCGAGACTGGGAGTTTTCTCGGGAGGTACGTATGAGAGGAGTAGATGCACTTGAGAGGATCTGTAATAATCTTCCTCTATTGTAAAGAACAGAGTCGAACTCTTATTGGTGGTAACGTTTGTAATGATATGAAATTAGGTTCCCTAACTATCCGCGCCGAATCCATGATGGGGTATAGGCTGTGTACAAGAAAAAATTGAAATCGCGCCTTCATAGTGCAGCGTCCCTCCCTGAGCGAGGTTTCCACCCGTGAATGTCAATAATCAACGCTTCTTCTGGGTCTCATCTCGAAAAGATAACACAGGCCATGGTACTTGTAATGTCTGCGTTATACACCAACATACTGATTTGCTGGCTCGTTACGGTCGTGGGAGCCCTGGGGCTTTGCGTGGGTCTGCCCAGGCTGCGTGAGCATAGTACCATCAGTTGTCGACTCTGCTAAGCTCGCCGGCTTCTCGCCAACGGGCTTCGAGACGTCGTCACGGGTGCGTGCGTGAGCTGACTTTGGACCGTAGGCGTCGATGTGAGCCAGTGAATGCCAGAGGAGGTACGTGCTATATTAGCGATCAGCTTTCAATTCTGCGGTTCAAACGGGGGGGGGGGAATGCGAGGGAAGAGCATACCTCACAAACGTAAAGACCATGCCCGGCCACAGAAACACCACACTAGCAATTGCCCGTCCATTGTCTCTATACCTCATCGGGCTCCCGCCATAGAGAGCCAGCAACCTCTGCGTTTCTCTAGCATTTGCTCCGCTTACATATGCACTCTCCTTGGCCACAATGTCCGTGTATGCTAGTGCGCAGGCCAGCGTGAGCACACACGCAATTATCGAGCATATTCTCCAAGCCAGTTTGACAGCTGACGACTCGCGGCGCTCTGGCCAGAAGAGGTCGAAGAAGAAGGCGCTGCCGAAAATCGTAGCGACGTAGATGCCGACAAAGATGTTGAACGAGGCGATGCCGACGAAATTGTTGTTGTGGACAGTTGCGTTGGGGTTCTGCTTAGCTACGAACTTTTGTTGGTCGACGTAGTCTGCCTGTGGTCAGTTTGTGCTTCAAGCCTGAGGAGAAAGAGGCTTGTATGGCGACTATACAGTGACATACCAGACAGAGCAGCAGTGCCCAAACTCTCGCTCACAACGCAGAAGATCATGGCCAGCTGGTAGATGATGAACTTGGTTCGGCGCATGTGGTATTCGTTGTTCCACATGTAGCTGTTCTTGAACTTGCCCCATTGTATCTCGCGCAGGTCGAGTCCCCATATCACCGCCATATTTCTTGTCGGGCAGTGATGGTGTGGTGGAGAAGATGAAGAGGGGCCGACTTGAGTGATGTCGAGCTGGGCTTGCGTAGTTAAAGCGTAGGCACAGTGATAGGAAGGAACGGCAGATGAAGAGGGGAAGGCGACATCCGTTGCCTATGTCCGGAAGTACCAGGAACTAAACAAGAGGACGACTAAGCTGATCCGTCACCACCTAAGCATATAGGAGCCGCCTCAGCAGGACCGCAAGGCGGAATACATCAACTTAAGGGGAGCTGCATTCCAGACGCCTTACGTAGCCATCAACAACCTCATTCTCTATCCCCGGTCGAAGAGTTTATGTCATAATCTCGCCCGACCACACGACTTACAAATAAGCATGCAACTCGCTGCATAGCGCCGTCGATCACGCGCCAGCTCATCCACGGGTTCTCCTCGCTGAGGCGTACTGGTACCCTGACCCTCTCCACTAGCTATGCAGCGTGCCCTCCTTCACCAATCAAAACGCAGGCCTCGTACGAATGCAGCATTTATCAGCGTCCCGGCTGCTTCCGGCATAAATGAGGAGGGGAGATATATCGGCTGGCTATGGGTGAATAATCGATAGTGGAGGGGCGTGATGCATGCGGGCACGGCTACGTCATATCCATCGTGGACAGGCGGGTGTGGCGATCTTAGCGAAAGCTTCATCCACACGACGCTGGGCGTCACGGGTTGCTGACGTGCTGCTGTACTATCAAGAGCCAAATCACTGCCCTAAGTTGCTTCGCACTAGTGATACTCTGTTCTTCTACACTTATTTCTTTTTGGTCACTAAACTTTCTTAAACACCATCTTGATGCTGTTCATATAGACGGCTTTGAAGGTCCTGGTTAGATGCTTGGAGATGCGTTGAGATGCTGAGCCATGAGGTTTCTAAGTCGCGACAACGGGCCGAGTGCAAATTGAGAACTAGACCAGGTTCCTCTTCGGATGGTCCCTAGTGTTCCAGCATAAGACATGTTTTTTCGTCTCCACCTCCGCACACAATAGAGCCGCCCTCGGTACACTAAAATCACCCCCGCAGCCTTGCCCAACTTACTATCACATAGAAATTATGAAAATAGCCGCTCAAAGTTTTTTTACTCAAAGGTTTCTATCTTTGTCTATTCGTATCCACCTCGGGCGGTGACGAGAAGAGCAAATATAGCACAGCAAGTACCAGTGGAGTCCAGGATTGAAAGTGGCTTCGAGTATATATAACCGAACCTTAGCTACCCTAACTACTAATTTTCACATCGCTACAACCATGTTTTGTCTACTCTTTTGCGTAGGTCGTAAGGCACTGCGATCGTTACCAGCAACCTGAGCGAACTAGGTATAGTAACATGTCACTCCGTAACCAATACACTTTGTAGGCCATAACCGAGCGGGAATACGAACAGGCGTTATACTAGGGTTTACTGGTACATACAAGATACTGAAGGAACTCATGCTTGAACAGAAGGCAGGAGATATTTAGATCGATATTATAGAAGTATGAGCAGAGTCAGCAAACTTCGAGGACTGTCTTTTGTACAGGCACTAGTGTATGATACAAGCCACCAAAACTTTTTCTCCGTCTCCGTAGTCGCCATGCTATTGCACCATGCCTTCTACAGTACCAACAGGCCGCTCGACGATACTGATGCAACCCTCGACGATGCTCTTCCTCGCATCCTCAGAGCTGACGTTCTGGCCGCCAAGGTACAGCAACCACACCAATCGCCCCACCCGCCCATCTTTGACTTCACCCAGCCAGTTTGACTTGCCCATCTTCGCTTTGCCCTCTTTCTGCACGATGGGCTGATATAGAGCGCCCAAAGTCCCGCTCTTATTTCGGGTCAAAATGATCACACTGCCTTTTGGCGCCTTCCCCTTGCCCTGGAAGAGGTTCTTGAACTCTTTCATCGCCAGTCCAAAAGATTCATCCGAGAACTCGTTTTCTTCAACTGGCTTCGGGAGCGCAATTGACTTGCTCTCGGCGGCCTGCTGCCTTAGCAAGTCTGCCTGTTTTCTTCGAACTTCATCGGTACGCGATGCAATACCACGCATCCATCCATCCTGGAGATGCTTAAAGTCGGTGCCGCGGCAGGGCACGACACGGAAAGCCATGTCTACAGCCTCCACGCCGTCTTTGCTTAAGATAGATTCCCAGATCTGGTTGCTCTTTTCGGCATCGAAGAGTGACTGGCGGAGGTCTTCTTTCTCGTTGGGAATGAGAGCTGATGCGGTGGGATTCACGGTGTTGATGAGGTGGTTTTGGAGGGTGGATAGGTCAGCCGTCTTGACATAGAGGCCTACGACGTAGACCTGAACCCTGAGGAAGGACACTTTTCGGATGCCGAGGCCGAGCAATGTGTATTCTGCGTCGCTGCTGATCTGTTCTGGGCCGCTGGTGTCGGTGGGTAAGCGGATGGTTCGCGGGAAGTAAGGTACGTATGATGTCCCTGTTTCTACCAGCTCGACAGCATCTGGATCTGATGCCTGTGGGTTCTCGGAGGAAGCTGGTGCAGCGATGACCTTGTCTCCTGCAGCAATGACGACCTTCTTGCCCTGAAACTCGTCTGCTGCCTTCCGTGGTGCGTCTGTCTTTGTAGGCGGTCCCATGATCCTTTCTACTATCCCTCGACCCTCCTTCTCATTCTTCTCCTCCTCCGGTGGGGGTAGCTCCCACAGTCTCACCAAGATGATCGGGGCAATCATCGACAAAGCTGCACCCAGCGCCAGCCAGTTCCGCCTTCGAATGGCTGCGGCGCGACGAATCGCTTCTGCACGGTGAACCGAGACAAAGTCTTCATCTAGATGCGGTCCTTTGGGCTTCGCAGCTTGCTTGAGTATGGCTTCGAAATCGGATCTAGCATTGCGGGTGCTGTGTCGCAGTTGTGGGTTGGAGCGCAGAGGCGCCAGAGGCTTATTGAGGCAGCGGAAGATTGGCCGTCGCGCGGCAAGTCGGATAGGCATCATGGTGGGCGCATCAATTAGGACAGTCTGGTGCCGATGTAAACAATTGAGGTAATGCCGGTCGTGATGCTATGGCGTGAGAAGCTTGGCCAGCAGTAAATGATGTCGTCGCCAAGGATCATTCGCACTTCTTACTAGTACTGCCGCTCGCTTTAGCGGGGTGAAGGCCGAGGCGCGTGTCCAACGCGTCTATCAGCCCTACCTCTTGCTTTACCTTACGATCCAAAAATGGCCCCCAGAGCAAGCAGACGGCGAGAGGAAACGCCCGAAGACGACGATGATGTCGACATGGAGGAAAGTCAACAGGAGCAAGGTAGCGGAAGCCTCGAACAGCTATCGAAGGGCTTGGTGCGATATGCGCTATCCTGCGAATATGCACGAAAGCCGATCAAGCGTCAAGACATCAACGAGAAAGGTAAGGGCATGCTATCTCTGGACAAGAGCGACACTGATATGTGTAGTACTCGGCTCGCATACTCGTCTTTTCAAAGAGGCCTTCTCCCGCGCCAATGGCGAGCTTATGGAAGTTTTTGGGATGCAGATGGTGGAGCTACCCAAGGCAGACAGGGTAACAACGCGGCAAAAGCGCGGTACGTCACACATGTAAATTGACCAAGTCTTTGCCTGACCATCTCAGCTGCCGTCGCATCGGACTCTCAGAGCAAGACAAGCAGTCTATGGGTCCTAAAGACCATCCTTCCTGAGCAGTATCGCATACCAGAGATCATTGGCCCTTCACGACCACTTGACGAAGGCTTGATTAACAGAGAGGACGCTTACGTCGGATTATATACCATGGCGATCGCCCTCATCACTATCTCTGGCGGTATGATGCCAGAAGGGAAGCTCGACCGCGCTTTGCGACGGATGAACGCAGACCAGACAACGCCCATCGGCACCAAAGACAAGACTCTTGCAGCTATGATCAAAGATGGATATATAGTCAGAGTCAAAGACTCTTCGAGCGGGGAGGAGATGATTGATTACATCGTGGGCCCGCGAGGCAAGGTCGAGGTGGGTCGAGATGGCGTTGCGAAGCTGATCAGGGCGATGCACGGCGAGAGCGATAACCTAGACGAGGTCGAGAAGCGCATACAGAGGACGCTCGACGTGGCGGAGGCTTATAATAGCAGTGAGCTGCCGAGCGACGCGGGTCCAGCGGCGAGTGCGTCACAGATTGGACGAAAGCGAGGACGGCCGAGGAATGATGCGGATGAGCTAGATGATTGATGAGTTTATGAGGCAGCCTCGGGCGTGAGAGAGAGAGAGAGGGAGAGGCATCATGTGCAATGACTATGTTGTGGAACTTGGATTTGGCTGGCGATGACGTTAAAGTACGCGCCCCGCAGAGTATCGGGAGAGGGCAAATAGCTCCAATGAGGCCTCCAACAGAGGTCAGCTTCCTAGCTCCACCCGCCCTGGGGGATCCCAAGCATGGGCGACGGAGCTGGAGGCCGTCAACAAGGACGCTGCTTCATGAGCAACCATGTATAGGGCGAGAGGGAATGCAGCGCCGTGCAGGCAGCCTCTGCGCTATTTGTCAGCGTGGAGAGGAGTGCAGGTGGTAGTGAATGGCAATGCTGCATGCAATGCGCGCCAAGCGGGAACGGCCTCCATTTTCCACGCCAACCGCCACCCTCGTCGACTCCCTCCTCTCTCTGCAGCCTTCTTCCTGTCGTCATATGCATTAACGCATCCTCTCGCGCCAATGAGTCTTTTGTCCTGCACCACCTGAGCGACGACGACAGCAGGCTCCCACAACACCATGAGCAGCCTCAAGGACATCCTCAACCACACACCAGCCCCGTCACGGCGCCCGTCCGTCACAGGCCAGACGCAGACGACAACGTTCGAAGCGGCCGATGCCCTCACAGCGCTTGCGACCCTAGGCAGTGGGCAGCAGTATGCTCCGCGCGAGCTGCCCTCGCCGACCGCCTACTCGAACGCGCCGCGACGCACCAGCAGCTTCGGCTCTCACCACGCGCCCGTAGAGCCTTCACCGCCCCTCGAACCACCCCCATCCCACTCCCCGACTCTCGAACAATATCATCATGGCTCCAGATCGCCGGAAGAACAGAAACGGCGGCAGTCGTTCCTGGCCAGGTCGTCACCCGCGGCCGTCCTCGCTCCCATACACAATTTGTCGTCGTCCGCTCTACAGGAGGAACAGACGCAGCATGCGCGAGCGCCAACACCAATCGGCGAAGACGTGTCTCAGATAGTGCCGGCATTGTCGCCATCGAGTCAAGGCGGTGAAGCTTCGAGAGACAGCACGCAGAACCGCGAGCCCGCCTTTGTGCGCCAAGAACCTACGACATCACAGATCCGCGAGCCCGAGTTGGCGAGCACCACACCGCACTCAACATTAGCAGCGGCTCATGTACCACTTTCACAGGGCAGCGAGGCTCGACAGCCCTCCCCCCAGGCGTTCATCAAGAATGAGCCCTCTGGCACACCGCGCGAAAACACGCCTGCGACTGCGGCCGCCTCTGCTCAACCGGGCCGACAAAGTTCCCTTGCTGGCGAGAACATGGATGCCGAGACGCTCAAGGCGCTCGAGATTGCCAAACAGAGTGATCTTGGCCTTCGTAAGAGGAAAGGCAGTATTCCAGATGGCCTGCCATCTCCAATCGATTCCAAGCCAGCTCCCGCACCCTCAAAGAAGCGCCCTGCGCCCTCATCGATTCCGACTGTGAAGAAGAAGGGCACAGCAAAAGCAATGAAGCCGTCGAAGAAGCGCAAGCTAGGCACAGAAGAGGGTTCTACCGCACGCTCTGTCACGCCCACTTCGCGCTCCTCAAAACCAAAAAGTGGCAAGACGGGCTCTCAAGCCGGCACGCCCGCCCTCGAGTCCTCGCCCGCCCCCGACAACTCGTCGCAGGTTGGCCCCTCCGACGACGAAGGCGAGTCTTCAGAAGACCATAACCTCTACTGCCTTTGCAGAAAGCCTGACAACCACCGGTGGATGATTGGGTGCGATGGCGGCTGCGACGACTGGTTTCACGGCGACTGCATCAACATGAAACAGTCCGAGGAGGCGCTGGTTGATAGGTTCATCTGCCCGAATTGCGAAGAAAACGGCAAGGGCACCACAACGTGGAAACCCATGTGCAGGCGCGACGGTTGCCGAAGACCCGCTCGGTTGATCAAGGACAAGGAGAGCAAGTACTGCTCAGACGACTGCGGTGTACTGTTCATGTCAGAACAACTACAACGGACAGCGGGCGCAAACGGAACCAAGGACAGATCAAAGAAGGCGAAGAAGAAAGCAACTGAAGCCGAGCCCGGGGACGAAGAAGAGCCCACACCTCTAGGCGGAGTGCTACGAGCGAAGGACCTAAAAGCTCTCGTCGATGCGTCACCCAACATCCAAGCCTTCAAGAATCTGGGAACTGGAGTCCTCTCGCCACCACAGACCGCGTCGCCGACCCGCGCAACCTTTGGAAGCGCACCAAACGGCGAAGATCTTGCCCTCACCGCTGGCGAAACCCAACGCTTAACCGCCCTCCACAAGGAGAAATCACAACTTAAAGACAGGTTGGAGGTATTGAAGGACCGCGAGAAGTTTGTTAGCATGGCGAAAGAACAAGCGACTCGGGTTGCAGAGCGCGAGAAGGTGAAAATCAAGGAATTCTGCGGCTATGATTCACGATTGAGTTGGTCCGACGCGGAATTCCTCCTCTGGCGGAATAGCAAGCACGGCTACGCAGCCTTCAAGTTCAACACGCTCTCACCGACAAATGAACAAACGTCATCCATGACGACAGTAAACGGCTCTGACTCCGACTCCCTCTCCTTAGACATAAAAGAGTCAGTGTGTCTGAAGAAGAGATGCCCAAAGCATCCACAGTGGCAGAAGCTCAACCTGCAAGACGCGCGATTCGAAGAGCTCGAAGTCGTCGAAGCCATCCGCGAGTGCGAGAAAGAGGAGCGGTCTGTACGTGAGCGTGCCCGCCGACGGGGTGCGAAAGACGGCTTAGCCAAGGAACTCACTGCTGGTGATGGGAGTAAAGTGGAGAGGAATAGGGAGGGCTGGGTCGAGGTCGTTTCGTCATGATGGCTAGCAGGCACAGACGAGGCGAAAAGAGATTAGATAAACATATACCCCCGTTCCTTACGCGCTGCTGCTTAGTTCTTTGGGCTTGGTTATTTATTTTTGGGCGGGGCGTTGGAAGGTATACACAAAAAGCGCCTGCGTCCTTGATTCCTCAGCATCTTTATCGATTGATCTACGACATGATAGCGTCTATTGGGAGCTTTTGCTAGAACAACACGTTGCAGCGACTTGGTAGTATGGTTTAATGATGATTCTTAACTCTCATGTGAACATGTCCACGCTCCACTTTGGCGATTATGGTGATGAATGTTATTTTATTTTTCCAACTGATGTACGGTATGTTATATGTGTATATTTGTTCATGTTTGGCGAGCAAACTGTTCAGATCATGGCGGGACGTGAACCTATCACCCACTTTCCTCACCATTAAGCCTGACGCCCCGCTCAATCAGGCCCTCCTGCCACTCCATAAACTCACCCCGCATCTCAGCAGGCAGAACGTGACCCTGCCCCTTTACAAAATGCTTCTCAACTTCTCCCTCTTGGAAAACGTCCTCTTCTTCTTCAATACCCAGCCAGTTCTCCGCCCCAGTCACCCCCTCACCCTTCTCCAAGCCCCGCCACAGCACTACCCCGTGCGGAAAAGTAATCATATGGTCCTGCGTCCCGTGCACGACCATAATCCTCTTTTTACCCACTGTCTTGGCAATCTGCTGTAACTGCTCGGCGCTCTTGTGGTGCCAGCCGGCTGCGATGGCTTGTAAGATGAAGCCGGTTCTCTGGAAGTACTCGGGATGCTGGCGTTTCCAGAGTTCATTGGCGGCGAAGCGGTCGCCGTTTGTGGGGAAGGATTGCTCTACGGGTTCGAGTGTGTCCGGGGCGTCGAGCCAGGCTTGTGTGTAGAGGTTTTTCTTTACGTTGTCGATTTGCTTGTCGATTGATTTGGGGATGAAGAGGTTAGCGCGGTTCCAGAGGTTTTCTACGAAGCCCTGGATGGGTTAGTTAGTTAGTTGGATTGAATGTGATATATATGGGCAAATCTCGTTTGGAAATCCTGAGCTTTTGGAGTTCCTTGGGATGAGGGTCGTTTTGAGATACAATAGGGACAAAGTCAAGGTCTGTATAAACTGGGAGTACAGTGAAGAATATAGCTCTTGCTGAGTAGGTGATTTTCTGGAGATTGGAGCTTACGGTAGTTCTAAAGAGACCTGCGGCAGTTGACACTAGTGATAGCGTACAGATGCGTTCCGGTATGAGCATAGCCTGTGTCAAAGTCAGCTTAGGCGCCGCTGATCTAGCGTCTAGCTCTTGATCTATGAAGCCATCATGGTAACGTTAGGCGTTTGAACCCTGTGTGGCGCAGACAACGAGTGGGGCGGGGCGGAGCGGGACCAGCGCACTTGAATAGAGATTGCAGGATTGTGATCGACCAGTAATGCTTGGTCTCAGGGGTCTTAAAGGCGTAGCCCAAGAGGCATCATGTTCGATCGCACGGAAGGTGTAGCATCCGGGAGCCGAGATCCGTGAGTCAAACGACATCAACCCAAGGGTATTGGAATCCTTTTCTATGCAATGACGGCGGCGTGGAGATTGATGGACTCACCAGTTCTTGTGCAATCATGCCTCCCATACTTATGCCAACGATGTGTAATTCGCGCTTGCCTGTCCAACCAAGATGATCAACCAGTTCGACGACATCCTTGGCCATCTCCGAGGTGGAATAGCGGAATCTGGGTTTGCCTGAATCGCCAATGCCACGGTTATCGAAGACTAGCGACGAATATTGGTCGGGCTTTGTGTGAGCAAAGTCTTTCGTCTGGCGCTGCCACGCGTACTTCATGCCACCAAGGCCCATAACCCACTACCTTGTGTCAGTGACCATTATTGAAAAAATTGCTTCAGGGTGCGCAGAAGAAACATGGGCTGAGCCTGGGTCTTGATAAACCCTAATCTGAGAGCAGCATGTATAATCAGGAACATGAGACGTGTAGAAAAAGGTGAGACGGTCAATGCGACTGAAACGAAACGATGACAGGATCTTGCTACTGGCTCGTCATAAAGGCAGCATCCTACCCCCTGGCAGAACATCGTTGTTATTTTCAGAGGTGACAAATAATGGTGCAGGGTGATGGGGTTAATTTGGGGTGCAGTGTGTTGGACCTTGGAAGCGACTAAATATGGAACTGACACGCACAACAATGTGTTGGTCGCCGTGGCCGTGGACCTCGTACGCTATCTTTATCGGGCCACCTCTGTCTTTAGCAACCTCTGCTTCTCCTTTCTTTTCTGGGTTGAGAGGCCATATGGTGTGGTTATATTCGGCGTGTTTGAGCAGCTCGTCAGCGGTAAGTGGGGCCATGGTTTGTGATGGCTGTCAAGGGATGGTACTGGCCATGACACGTTAGCAATGCAATCGAGCCCACTTGCAGTGAAATAAGTTGCCGCAAAGGTGGCGCAGGCCATCGATTCTTGGTAATTTAGACACTGCAAGGGCGCGTATTCGGTTCGAGGTTGGAGCGGCAGTGGTCCTCAGGAACCGATACGCGAAATGCAATGGGATGTGATTGGGAGGATACAGAAGAATGCACACTCACTATTCTCGGGTGCGGGCCGCTGGAAAAAGGCAGCCAACGACGTCGTTATTAGCAGCACGTTGCACGAGGACACAGAGGGTGCTATAAAGTTGGCATTGGTCTCGACGTGAGAATTTCCTGGCTATCAAGTCACATCACAGTGGAGCCTCGGGATCTGTGCATAGCGCCTGTTAGAAGCCCAAGCGCAGGAATCGTCATACACGTTGCGCTAGGCCTCTTCAAGCCCAACCATCGCTCTTGGCTACGGACGACGGCGGAGGACTGCGGGCATGCTGAGGAAAGACAGTCACCCAGTCGCCCGCTGCAGCACCCCAAACAAGCTTCTGCCTCATCCCTTATCTGCTCGACGCGATTCCATAGCCGGCGACTAGTCCGCGACAATCCTCCTCACCTCCCTGTAGATGGGCTCCCCGGCAGCGTTTCATCTGGCTCAGCACTAGACTCCCTCGGACCCCCGAACTACAGGCGCCTTCAAAGCAACACTACGCCCCATATTCCTACGAGACCCCGCAATCCTTCTCCGCCATGAACACGTCTCCGAATGGCTTCTATGGCACCGGCCAGCCCATGATGAACCCACCTCCGCCACGCATCTTCGGCAGCGGCGGCTTCGACCCCTCGCAAATGCCCGCGGGCTCCATGTTCGCCCAGGATGATATGGACGACAACGCTGATGGCGGAGACGCAAAGAGACGGCGCATTGCTCGCGTATATACACCGAGAGACACGGCCCTGGTATCATGCTGACAAGCTGTAGGCGTGCGACATGTGCCGGAAGAAGAAGATCAAATGCGACGGCAAGATGCCCTCGTGTACCCACTGCCAGAACTACAAGACCGAATGCATCTTCACCCAGGTGGAGAAGAAGAGGCAGCCGCCTAAAGGGTAAGCACATGCTTGCAATGTAGAACACAATGGGGCTGACCAGTGCTAGTGCAAAGTATATCGAAGGCCTCGAAAACCGACTTGCGCGCATGGAGTCGTTGATGCGCTTGTCTGGTGTCCTCCCCGACGACGATGACGGCAGCACAGACTTAGCAACGTTGGAAAAGCGACTGGCAGACAGAGCAGGGCGGTCTCCAACACCCCGAACCAGCATGGATGAGAGGAGACCATCTGCAATGCCTCAAGCAGCTCATTCCACGACACAAGGGACTCCAGCCCAACCAGCTCTGCCAAGCCCAAGAAGTGGCACCGCCTCACCAGCTCCAAAGGAGTCCACCGAGGGAGAGGATGCGCTTGCGGAGATGATGTGCTCACTCGTTACCAACAACTGTGGCGAGACGCGATACATTGGTATGGCACAGCCCATGTACACTCCTTCCCTTATACTAATCCTTTTAAGGCTCTTCGTCTGGCTTCTCCATCTTCTCACCCAAAGGCATACAATGGGTGAATGAAAAAACGGGCGACAATTCTTTCCGCGACATGATCTCTACTGCTGCCGTCGAAGACAACAAGTGGATACAGTGGAGACCAGACGTGTTCCAGGACATTTTCAAGCGCCGAGTATACAAACAGCTGCCACCCAAACACGAGGCTCTGTCGCTCCTGAAGGATTACTTCGAAAATTTCAACTGCATGTTTCCATTATTCCACGAACCGACTTTTATGCACCTGGTGGACAAGCACTACTCGAAAGATCCGTACGAAGGATCTGGCTGGTGGGCTAGCTTGAACGTTGCCCTGGCTTTTGCCCACCGTCTGCGAGTCATGAGCAACCTCGTGCCAGCAGAAGAGGACGAGAAGGCATGGCAATACCTGAAAAATGCCATGAGCGTCATGGTCGAGCTCACCATGCGCAACACTGATCTGCTCAGCGTGCAGGCTCTGTTAGGAATCGTAAGTGAATCAGCACGTTTCATGATGTTGTAAGACTAACACAATACAGGGGCTGTTCCTGCTTGGGACACCGAACCCCCAGCCTACTTACTTTTTCGTTGCTACCGCCATGAGGCTTGCCCACAGCATTGGTCTGCACAAGAAGGGCGCTAACTTTAGTCTCAACACTGCGGAAGTGGAGCAGCGAAGGCGCGTCTTTTGGATTGCATACATGCTAGATAAAGAGTGAGTTATCCAAGTCTCCTCCTTTCAAACGTACTAACCAGCCCTAAGCATCTGTTTGCGTTCTGGTCGACCCCCTGTACAGGATGACGATGACATGAACGTGGAACTACCGAGCGATACTCCACCCGATAACATTGGCAACATCCCGCTTGCCGACGGCAAAGGGACCATGAACCTATTCCGGCTGATGTGCACCTTCTCAGTCATTCAGAGTAAAGTGTATAAAGGACTGTACTCGGTGAAGGCTTCAAAGCAGACCGATGGGGAGCTTCTCAATACCATTGGTGAACTGGACAGGGAGCTAGAAAATTGGAAAGACGACATTCCGCTAGAGTTCCGCCCAGAGCACGATATCAAAGCCTCCCATACCCCGCTTATCCTCCAAGTCGCAGTCCTGCATCTTGGCTATTATAATTGTTTGACGACGATTCATCGTATGAGCGTACATCACGGATACTGGACGAGTCGGCTGTCAAACTTCGCCATACAAGGCTTGAATGCACGACCTCTCAACCCAAGAGTATTCATGTCTGCGCAGCTATGCGTGCAGGCCGCCCGAGCATCTATTCATCTCTTGAAGTACATACCAAAGGGTGACTTGTCGTGCGTCTGGTTGGTCATCTACTTCCCAGTGACGGCACTGGTTACACTTTTCGCCAATATCCTACAAAACCCACAGGACACCAGATCTCGCTCAGATCTGAAGTTGATGAAGCTGGTCGTCAACTTCCTCAACATGCTCAACGATGATCAGGGAAGCGGCAGTGTCAAGCGCATGTGCACTGTCTGCGCAGAGTTTGAGCGTATCGCGACTATTGTCCTCGAAAGAGCAGACCGTGAGCATGCTTCGCGGCGCAAGAGGAAGCAAGGGGACAGCGAACAGGATGCGCAAATCGAAGCCACTGCGGCCGAACTGCTATCAACGGGCCGGAATTCACACTCGTCACCACAGCAAGTCACAACACCTCAAACTAATAATACCGCATCGGAAGGCATGATCTTCAACCCAGACTTCCACGGCTTCAACGAGGTAGGTGTTTTGCGTGTTCAAGGTTGAACAACTGCTAACGTATACAGCCCTTCCCCTTTTCTCCCAATTTTACGCACGCCTCACTCCAAGCGAACTCGCAGGTGGGCCAATTTGGTTCACCTTCCTTGACCGCACAAATGCTTCAACAACAACAAAGCCTACCCCTCACCACCGGTGCGGACGTCAACGGAATTAGTTCTAACATTAACGCAATGGCCATGGGCCAGTTTGACCAAACGTTCAACAATGTTCCTCAAGACCTCTGGAAGATGCCAATGACGCTCGAGTGGGATTGGGCAGATATGACCGGCTACTCTGGGTATGAAGATGGCATCAGCATGAACGGCGTCTTACCGGACTATTCGAACACGGGCCATGGCACGAGCGAATTCAATCAGAGCGCAATGAATGGTGGGCGGTAGTTTTTGAGTGTCTCGCGGCTGTTAAAAGGAGGATTCTTGATTTCATGGTGTTCACGGCGTTCATTACGACTAGATGGCATGCTTTGAATAGCTATTGGCCAGGCAGCGAAGTGACAGCTCGACTCGATCGGAATCTGGAATATATATCATCACCCCGGTTAGGTGGAATTCGAGCGACGATAATGGATGAACTAAACTGTACGTTATGTACCCTTACGAGTTTACGGTTGGCTTTTACATTTGCTTTTCAAGGTAGAAAAACTCGATTACTTTGATTTTGACTGCAAACTACCAATTTTACAAACTGCTTTTTCAAAAACCATTTTCCACGGCAATGGAACAAGTTTCGTGACGATTGTCGCGAGCACACTTCACTATGCCAATGTTCCACTGCATCGCTTGGCCCGATCCAGTACGTCACGATACGTCTATGGCTTGATATCAAACACACCCCGAGGAGATGATCTGGATATGTATACCACTGCTCCTTTCATGAAACGTCCCAACATCACTTTATCAGTCAAATATAGCACAATGGTCAACACTACAGCCCTCCTCTCCACCCTCATTACCGCGAACCACATCCTGCACTACCACAATGTGCTCGACGCCATGGGTCACGTGAGCGTGCGGAATCCTAATACAAATACCACGTTCTTCATCGCGTTGCAACTAGGTTAGAAGACCCCCTTTCCCAATTACATCGTCAAATATAATTCTTCGAAAAGCACTGCTAACTAGGACCAGGACCAGCAGTCATCTCTGGCCCCCAAGACATCGGCGAATACTTAATCGAGGACGGCAGCCCCGTGAACAACAACACGCAAGGCGGCTACGCAGAACGCTACATCCACAGCGAAATCCTCAAGCGCTACCCAGACATAAACGCCGTAGTGCACAGCCATGCAGAGGACGTCCTCCCCTACACCGTCGTGCAGAACATCCACTTGGCACCAATATACCACATGGCCGGCTTCTTGGGCCGGGACACGCCGCTGCCGAACTTTGATATCGAGGACGCATATGAGCCGTCTGATCCGCGCGATTTTCTGGTCAATTCGCCGCGGCTGGGCGCTGCGCTCGCAGAGCGGTTTGGGGTGAATACTACTACGCTGCCGAGTGTGTCGCCGGTGTATACCACTGTGCTACAGCGCGGGCATGGGTTTGTCACTGTGGCGAGGAGTGTGGAGCAGGTAGTTGATTATGCGTATTATGTTGCTAGTAATGCGCGGGTGCAGACTAAGGCGATTTTACTTGCTGGGAGTGCTGGGAGACAGGATTGTAGCAGTGCGGGCTTCAGTGGGAACGGCACTGGCGATATCAAGTATTTGAGTAGAGAGGAAAGTAGGGATTCGGCGAATATGAATGCGTGGATTGTGTTTAAGCCTTGGACGCAGTGGGTGCGCGAGGTAGAGAGGAGTGGGCTGTATGTCAATGAGTTGGGGTCTGGCTAAGGCGGACTAGATTACGGAAAGACGGAAATGCGAGAAACACCCACAGTGGAAGTATCAAGATCTTACAACTTGCTCCCTTCAACAACCTGAATAACGAAACCCAATCTCGGGAAGTGAACGTGGACATTTAACTCAGCCTGTTCATTCGGCTTAATCACCACCTCTTCCACACCAATCTTCACCAACGTGCCCAACGTCGGATTATCGCGCCCCGTGTCGTCCGGGGATATGGAAATGAGTACCCCAGGTACTAATCCATGCTGAAAATCAAGAGAAGAATGCTGGTCCACCGCAGTGGGTACTAACAGCCTCTCCTCGGATACCAACGGCGTCTGGCGTAACGCCTGCTTCCATTGCGTATCAGACTCCGGGACAGTGATCTCGAGATCCGGAAGAGAAGTAATGTACGACTCGAATGCGTGGAACCATTTCCACAGCCCCGGGAAGCGGTCCTTATTGAACACGGCATCGGTAATGGGGTCGCTGGTGTCCCGTGTGTCACCTCCACTTAAATTGTATATGCCCTTGCCGGCGGCAATGTCTATGCCCCACCTGAGCTGATAGTACAGGCTTATATCCGCCAAAGAAGGCGTTTTTGTAGGGAAGGCCCACATGCCGGAACGAAAAGTAGGTTCAAGCATCGACAAGTGCAAATCCAGATTCGAAAGGTTTTGAGGAATTTTGGCTGCGAGCTTGGAGGGATCGAGTGCGTGCCCGATGAGTTGTGCGCGGTCTTTGCCAAAGGAAGAGGACCATACGCTGGAGGGTATGAGGCCTGTTGTTGTGCGGAAGAGTGATTTCTGTTTATAACGTCAGGCACCTAGTTTTACATTTGTTAGACGTTTATCTGATGCGTTTGCTCACATCAGTCCAGAAACTTGCAAATCCCCGAACAAGACCGCGGTAAGTCCACTCATTCACGCCTTCGTACTTGGGGTACAAACTCCCCCATCCTTGACTTGCAGAAAAGACGTGTTCTAATGCTTCAATGATGAGGGACGTGTCGCAGTATACCTCTCGACCAATAGCGAGAATGGGGATTTTGCGGTAATGTAGTGCGAATGTTGAAGTTAGGAGGGGGCGGGGGAGCATCGAGGAGACAGGGACGTATGCTTTATTGTATGTCAGTTAGACGAGGGTGGAAGGGCGAAGAAAGATGAAGTTACTCAGCGTTCTACTGGTATCTCATAATCGGCGACATGACAAGAATGCAGAATTGATCAAAGAGGTGACACGGTGAATAAAAGCGCTGCTATGAAAAACACAAAAGGCAAAGAAAGTACATGAAGGACATGATAAGTGAGACAAGGAGGGCTGGATAGAGAGTATGAACGCACAAAACGGTATCTGCTTGACTCTCAAAGCTAAACGAACTTTATTTGTAAATGGGCTTGCTATGCCAAAGTCAGTGAATAGTTGCTGTATCGTACACAACAAAACCGAGTGACATACAGTCATACCCGAAGAGTACCACAGGCGGATGATCTTTTGGAGGCATTTTCACAACGAAGATACTTTTTTTGGGTATATTGGACCGAAGTGAGACCAAGTAAGGCTGGAGGTATACGAGAGACTGAAAAGCACTATGAACAGACGATAGCCGTAGTCTAGCCTTGTCCTTTACCCCGCGTTTCGACCGAAAGCCGACTGCCTGATGCCGAGGTCCTCGAGACTGACCCTTTGAGCCTCCAATGACGTGCAAATTAATAATGCTTATTGGCGATATGTGCTGCGTCTATGTAACGCTTACCGCTGCTCGAGTTTTGAAGTAGCGATAAGAGTCAGAGGGTTACATACTTTGAAATCAATGTAATCACAAACATCTCCGCACTCAAAGTACTTTCACAGAACCAGCGATAGCTCAACTAGGGCGTAGGCGCTTTGAAAATCCTCTTACATACTTTGAAACTCGACTACGTAATCTCTAAAAAGCAGTGCGTATCTACAGGACTCTGAATATAGGATACTCGTCCCCCAGGTCCAACGGAATCTTATTGTAGTAAGCCAGAGACGCCTCGCCCTCAGGCTCCAACAAAACAAATGCATATCCGGCGTTCTTCTGCCTCGTGTCCACATAAAAGCCTCCAGCGGGGATAGTAACAGCTCGCTGGGTCGCATTCGTCTTGACCGTCGTCCCTGCGACGCCCTCAAACTTGGTCGTAGCAAGCGTAGCATTCTCAACAACGAGCGCTTCCACTGTGCCAACAAAATCTTTCTCGAGCACATTGACTTTGACACCGAGGATATGGAGACGTTCAGCTACGTCAGAAAAGGCGCGGGAGAAAACGTAAGCCTTGGGCCGAGAGCGTTTCAAAGTAACGATGTATGGGTCGCTGTTCCGGGATCGGACTGGGACGTCGACGAGTGTGCCGTTCGCGCTGATGAAGGTGAGATGCTTGTTTGTGATTTGTTGTTCATACGCAACTACAATGTCGTCGGTGCTAGCAGTGAAAGCCTTGCGACCGTTTTCGATGGTGTTATAGACGGTGTCGAACTCGTCAACAGCTTTGTTGAGGATCGTTTCCAAGGTGATGATGTGAGATGCTACACGTCGCTGGAAGTGCTGGTTCGCAAGTCTGATCCCGCGCGTCTCCACAAGGAATGTTATTGTTTGGAAGTTGCCCGAGCCTTTGTGGATAGCCTGGGCGTGCGCATTTGGCTCCTCGACGGTGATCGTACCGTTGCGGACGCTGGTGGTGAAGTACGGTGCTACGCGCAAGCCCTTCGCTTTAGCTGCAGCGAAAATATCTTCGACAAACTGCTCATTGAGTGCTCGGATGTCCTTGTTGACATTTTGGTTTTTGTTTGCCGAGACGAGAAGGTCTTGCGCCCGAATATATCCTGCCACTGGGTTCACGCCTGTATACTCGTGATTATCCGTGACGATATGAGGATCGAAAGTGGATTGCAGTTGCCTGATTGCCCGAGTTTGATCTCGTTCCAGAATCGCGTGGTCACGGTTGGGATCATAGTTTGACGCGAGTTGCCGCTGGAAATATGTCACGCCGTCGACATTGTAGCGCGGAAGAATGAGCAAGTCAACCTTCTTGAGCACCTTCTCGGTCCATTTGGAGTCATTGGCAAACTTTCCAAGCAGCGCCAGGACACCTTGATCACCGGCAGGCTCGTCCCCATGAATGCCGCCTTGGATGAAGATGCGGAGCTTCTTTGCACCCTTTTCCCCATTTGATAACGTGACATAGGGTATCTTGCGGCCTTCCTCAGATTCTAGCTTGTCATTGTACGTGAACCACCCGTTGCCGTGGGCTAAGCCTTTCACAAATTTCTCTATCAAATAGCAGTCAGCGCTTGAACCCGTCTGTTTGGGTCTAATGATTGACTAATTACCTAAAGTGCTTTGGGATGTTGGTCCAGAGGTACCGTTTGCGAAGCCCGGTTGAACGCTACCGGGGTCTGTGAATGCTGGTGCTAGTAACTTGACGTCCTGCACATCAGGGAAGTTTGCGGCTACTTGAGGCGTGTCAATGACAGTCGGATTTTGGTTGCTGGCGTAGCGATCGCTTAAAGCGAGACTTGCATAGAAGGGAACTACGCTCAATACGGAACTACGCATGATGAACGACTTTTGAGTATACTTCGGTCACCTTGATTGTGGTATGGTTCTGGGCGAAGATCTCGATTTGAGAGACACCATCTTCGCGAACTTATACTACGAATTGATGCCGAGCCTTGTAGGCGTGATATGCGTGGATAATCACGAAATGTCGACCCTCGAAGTTAGGATGTATGCTTGCGTTGGAAGGTGGAAGCGATGCTCATCCTTGGCCAAGCATTGGCAGCACCTATCCAGGATAACGAGCTGCCTAATATGGGATCGTGCGTCATCCGATACCGGAATCAAGACCCCCTCGGACAAGATATGACGAATGCAAAGTGATGTTACTCTGCTGCGCAGACGATGGACTTGGCAGATCGCCCTTAAGCATTTCAGCCCACGTATTGGGGAGGTTGTGGAGGGTTTGAGAGATCATAGATCCCGACTAATTCTAGACAAATACACAAAAATGCCTCTTGTCTCTGGATTTCGAGAAGGAGATCTAGCGAATGTCTCAAAAAGCCGCTAGATACCTTCAGCTTGTGAGTTCATGGAGAATATGATTAATTGCAATTTGTACTCCGCACTTAAAGTACTTTTACAGAACTAGCGATAGCTCAACTAGGGCGTAGGCGCTTTGAAAATCCTCTTACTTGGCGTTGCGACACGGTCCGTCTCCAGCACTGACAACGAGCTATGAAAGAGAGTCTAGGGGGTCTCAGAGGAGTTGCAAGGCCGTCGTGTCCGCCAAGCATGCTCAAGTAGTTGATCTAATTGTGGTTAGTAGGTAGTTCAGTGAAGAAGTAGGGTAGTGCGTAGTTTCTTTTTTTTTAATCTATTTGCGTAGGCGGTAAATGTCAACCTTCTAAGTGAAAGTTAAAGTACCTGAATATAATATTAAGCATATACTTATAGATAAAGGAAACTTGTATAGCGTATATAGAGCTCTTTACAAATTATAGAAGCAGGTAGTAGCTATAAATAGTAAAGTCCTATAAATTTAAAACTTACTAACGTATTACACAGGCGAGTTAGTTGCCTAGTTAAGTTAGTTACAATGCTAAGACTCTACTAAAATTAGTACTATGTATAATAGTACAGTACTATAAAAAACTATAATAATAAATTATAATAAGCTAATTTATTTAAAAATTATTTTTATTTTTTGCTTATATATTTGCGCGTTATACCTAGCTTTATTGCAGTATTTATAGTGCTTTTAAAAAGGCTTACTTACTTTAATATATACTTATTTTTTTACTTTTTTTTTATTATTATGCGCCTTAAACTTTTTTAAAATTATTAGTTAAAAACTATTTTTTACTATAAAAGTCCCTTTTTTTTATACTTGCTTTTTTTTATATAATTTTTATTATATAGCAGCTTTATTAGCTGCTTAAAGCTTAGCAATTTTTTTTTATACTAATATAAATTTATGCGCGACTATAGCTGCACTTTTTAAATTTTTTTTAAAAGCTTTAACTATTAAAGTAAAAAAACTATTTAAATACTTTTAAATCTTTGTTTTAACTAGCATTAATTAAAACTTAAATTTTAAAGTATTGCTTAGTATTTTTAACTTTTAAAAACTATTTTTAATAGTAAGTAGTAGTAAAATACGCAATTAAATATTAAGTTTTAATATTACAGCTTTAAAGTTAAAAAAAAACTAAAC